ACCTTTGGCCAGAAAAACGCCCCAATCGACTTGCACCGGGGAAAAGCGAAGGCCAGGAAAAAGTGTCGCCAAGTGTCGCTCATTGTCTGGTTCGACACGTTAACCGCGGGTTCACACGCTTTTTATGGGGACCACATTAACGTGGCCAACAAATGTTGCCAAACATTTCTTGCGCTGCGCATTCGGCAGATCATCATCATCATTATCTTCATCAGAAGCAGCAGGCGGCAATTAAAACGCGCGCGAAAGTAAAACGTTTTACAGTTAACAAAAGAAAAAAAATAAAGAAAAGATAAAAAGATGAAGAAGTAGCAAGACTTGGACTTAAAAAAGTAACAACAAATTGCATATATTTAAAAGTCATCAACAAATGGTTTTTATTGCACTCATTACCTCAGTCTCTCGCTTTTGGTTTGCTTTCGCTGGTCTGAACAAAACCAATTTTCGTGCTGCATTTGCCAAATGAAATTGAGTGAAAATTAATACGTTTTTGGTTTATCAATTATGTGCAATTAAATGCAAAACAGTACGTAATAGCCGCATGGCCGGTACTCCGCCCCAATCTCAATTAATCTCCCGTCCGCCAGACGAGATATGAAATATTGAACAGTGTCAAGGCTTTAATTACTTTATTACCCGAGATTCCGCAAGCTGAAAAATGAAAGAAAAAAAAACAGGATCGAAGGCGGTGGCCTTAGCGGTATTTTGACTTAAGGGGCCGACAAAAAATTAACCAAAAGACAAATCGCTTACGCCCTCTCTTCCATTTTTGATGTTCGGGCTTCTTCCTTCGGGAGGCCGACATAACAATTTAGTGTAACGATATCTGTACAGCATATAGGTACATAAATATGGGAGAGACATATGCACATGAAAAATAATTTAATTTATAACAAAGCTCAGTTGCAGGACATGCACAGTGGAGCCCAGTTGCAAAAACTGAAAAGCATCACCTAAAAACCATTATAAAATCCACAATTTTAAGGTATTCAGTTTGAAAAGTGCAAATTTAATAAGGAATTAACATGTTTAGTTGACGAAAATAACATTTTACATTATTTTTAATAGATCCTTAAAATATCCCTTTTTAGAAATAGTTAATTATTTTGCAAACTGATTCCATCGGTTCTAAAGGCCAAAATAGAACCTTAAGTAATTTTTAAATTATATTAAATAGAAAAGGAAATAACAAATGTAAGATCCATAAAGCAAATAAAATTTAAAGAATTAAATAAAAACTGAATTGTGAAACTTCAGAAAAGAGTAATCTAACGATGAAATTTTCTCTATTTAAAATACTTATCCAACAATTATATGACATGCTTTCTTAATGTTACAAAACCCTCATTCTCTTAAGCATCTCAAGAATTTTCAAACCCATTCCCAAGGCTTTGGCTCCACTGTCTCGCGTTTCAATGCGAAATTTGACGATGGCCACACAACAAATAAGCTGGAGTATCTGGACAGAAGGCAGCCGAAACCGGAGGCCACACACAAGAGGCGGATCCGAAAACCCCGAAATGGAGCCCGAAAAAAAATGAGAATTAATATGAAATGCTGGCAGCAGAAAAACTGAGGCTCAGCTGTCAGGCTTGGTCAATGGAAAATTAATTAAAAACCCTGCCCCATACGCCGGACGAGGAAAGTAACTAGAGAAATGGCTCATTACAATGATTACGAATATGAGTACGAATGGGGAAACGAGTGAGTCAGGCTACGTGCATTGCATATCGGAGTGGAGAAGGCCTAGAACAAGTCCCACCAATTGATTGCCGAGAGTGGAGCATGGAGAATTGACCCACTGTGGCCGAGACGGCTATGGAGAATTGTTATAACTGCGCTTTGCTCGGCTAACTGTGGCAAGACCTCAATCCAGATACAAAACGCCGCTTGGCACGCTCGCAGTTCTCGCTTCTCGCTTCTCCATTCTCGATTCTCGACTCTCAATTCTCCAGCTTCGATTACCGGCGATTCGATTTGTTCAAAAGGCCCCGAAAAGGCAAAGCGGCCAAGTGGCCAGTTGGCCAATTTGCTTAATTACTGTAACGCTTATCAAGTGAGAGTTTCAATTTGTTTTGGCGGGGAAAGTTGCCAGTCAATGAACGGAAAATGCCTTCTAGGAGAATTCAAACAGGGGAAAAACCACAAAGAACCCAGCATAATAAACTCTGATTCATATTTAATAATGAGCAGGCACAAATATCTGGCATACAGTTTTTAAGTATTCTTTTCTTTGTAGAATAAATATCATCTTGTTCTTTACCATCAGTACCACAAATAAAAGGGAGTCCCAGAATCAAAAGATTGTAAATGCTTTGTAAATGCAGAACTTATCTCGAAACCAAATACCAGCCACCGATGCAAATATTTACATGTAAAACCCGATAAGACACGATCTAAAAAAGAGTGTAAACTCATAAAGTCAGTTGTAAACGCATATTTGCTTTGATAAATCTAAGATAAATGCATTGTTTTTAAGCAGAGTAGATGGAAATTCGAGGGGATTTTCATGACAATGTGTTCCAGTTAGTTTGGAATTTCTCGGGACTTAAGCTGCTGCTGCATCACATTTCCATGGGCAACGCCCCGGCCCGGAAGCTTTCAACTGGCGGTGTTGCAACTGGGTAAATGCAGCTACTTTTACTTTAGACCAATCTCTCGCTCTCTTTTTTTTCGAGCCATGCTTGCATAAGATACTTGCTGGGGAACGGGCATGGATACATAGATACACGCCCCAAATAAACCACTAAACCGGTGACACTCCACCTCCGCAGCACTCTTCTCCTGCCCCAAACTCGCCCCATACGATCCACTCCAATCCACGGCAAGTCTTGGACCCGCGAGCCGCTAATTCAAACAAATTGCAGCATAAATGCATTATAAAAGGCAGAGGAGCTGCATCGGACGACACAGTGTGACAGTAATAATGTCACTCGCAGTCAGAAATGGACGATGGGAGGGGTCTGATGTGGATATGGATATAGGTGGAATAGAGCATACCGAAGCGTGAATGCCAGTGATAAATTAGCTAGCTTCAGCGGGCTGGCCATGTGTGGGCACTGTACAGTGGTCACTGGGAAATCAAGTGACTTGTGGGTCGGAATTCAGTGGTTGGTTGGGGTATCTTGAAAATTTAAATACTTTTTAATTTAAATTTTATAATCTATGCTAAAAGTATCCAAGTGCAATTCGTAACTTCGATTTTACTTCCAATCGCTTGAAAAAATATGAAATCTACTTTGAAATAATAGATGTATTATGATTAAGAACTATTTTGATATTGTCTCTTAACTTAAAGGAAGTTTTATAAACAATGTTTGACTCGTATGTAATTTTATAAAGGGTTTATTTTAAATGAAAGCTTAGGTTCACCTGTAGAACAGCCCAAAAAAATACAACAGTAAATCTTAAATTGTTCCCATTTGTTGGCACCGTAGAGTTCCAGTAGGAAATAAGGGGACTTTCTATAAATGATAGTTCGCTATCAACATTAGGATTAAGAAACTATCTAGATAGATCAAGAAACTATTAAGAAGTGTGTGCTTTTATTATGGTTTTATTACCAGTTTAAATGTATGTTCTACTATTAGAATTGCCCATTAAAAACCAACCAGCCTTAGAGTTCCAATAACATGTTTAAGAATACAATTAGACCCCAAAACGCATTTGAGAAGCCATCCAAAATCGAATAGGATACACGCTGAGTCCAGATCTTTTTTGAAGGTCAGTGAACCCGATTGAACCAGACTTTTCTTCGCCCTGCCAGCTAATTGATTGTTCTACTCCATTTGATAGGCTCTCGGCTATTGCTCATTTATGGCACAATCGCGGCACTCATGGTAATGGTTAATTACGCTGACGATCTGGCCACATGCGACCCACTGTGCCGCATTGCTAGATGCAAGTTGCAAGTTGCTAGATGCAACTGCAACAGCAACTCGGTGGCAGACAAGCAAGTGTTTTGTTGTAGTTGCTGCTGCTGATGTTGCTGCAGCTAATTTGATTAATGATAAGCCGGGCTTAACTGACGACGATTGTGATTCATTATGTGCGCACAAGCCGACACACTTAGCACAGCAGATACAAATGCAGATACATCTGCTGAGGTTGGCCATCCGGGGAAATCATCTATCTATCTATCGGTAGCAAATTTTCATTAAATAGATTAGGGGGCCTGCCACCACACCAAAGCGAGGCGAATCGAAGAAAGAACATTACTTTATTGGGACGAACAACAAGTGCTCGTTGTTATGCGAACAGTGGAGCGCTATTTAATGCGTAATTGAAGCCACAATTGAATTCGCACTGGGGCCCACTCTGTGCTATCTGCTAGATACAATTTCGCTGCCTTTGATTACATGCAATGAGCCATTTCCTCTACGGCTCACTGACTACCCGATACGACTCTAAAAGCATGCTCTATGTTCGGAGCACTCAACATTCTAAAGCCAGGCTTTGGACCTGCATTTTCTAGGTGCACCTCATTTGAGCCGAAAACAGAGCGCTGGCTTAATTGCGATGGAAATGGCTGCATGTGGCGAGCTAAGCAGTCGATAAAGTGGCAGGACCGAGATATATAATTAGGCAACTTCATCGATATGGGTTGGGCACAGCTTCTCCAATCAAAACTTGTCTGTCTAAGGTCTGGTTTAACTCAACTAGCATTTAAGGAAAAAATAATTATATATTTCAAATTTTAATCAATATTGGAATGAGTTACACTTATTGATTTTCATTTCAATCAATTATACATTCTTGGTTCTGGTTTTTTATAAAGCTTGGCGTATGAAAGCTAATATTTTACATGTTTAACATAATAAAGCAGACTTGAATAAAACACTTCATAAAAAAATTCTTTGCCCATCGTTAGAACAAAACATTTTGTTGATACCTAAAAAATCTTCTACACAAGAATCATATCCTTACTTATAAAATCAGAGAAATGTTTAATGAATATCTCAGGCCAACAGCAACCAATTTTGTTAATTTAATAAACAGTATTTCCAGTGTTTTGGGGCTATATTCTTTAGGTGTCCAATGTATTTGCCCGATGTTTTGTAGACCTAGCACATTTTCATAGCTGTTGTGTTGTAATTGCCGGCAAAGAAAGTTGAACTTGGTTGGGATGACTTAGTACCCGGCTGCCTTTCTGGCCTTTTCGGCCTCCTTCTCGGCCTTCTCCTTCTCTTTTTGCTTCTCCTTCTCGGTCTTTTCGCGTTCCTTGCGCGCCTTATCGCGGGCTTTCTGGCGCTCGGCCTCCTCCTTCTCCTCCTGCGCCTCCTTCTCCTTCTGCTTGCGGTCGCGCTCCTTTTGCCTTTCGGCCCTGACCTTGGCCTTCTCCTTGCGGATCTTCTCGCGCTCCTTCTCCTGCTCCTCGAGCCGCTTCAGTTCGTCCTTCTCCCACAGCTCGAAGGCCTCGCGATCGGCGGCCAGTCGCTGCAGCTCATCCAGCTCGGCATCGCTGATGCCGCCCTCCATGTCCCGCTGCATCAGGTCCACCTCCCGTTCCATGGCCTCCTTGGCCCGCCGACGCCGAATGCCCAGCTCCCTGGCCTCCACTGCGTCCTGGTGGCGCTCCTCACGCGCCTCCTTCTCCTCCCGCCGGCGCTCCTCCTCGATCTCGAAGTCTTCCATTTCGTCCTCGGTGTAGGGATACTCGGGTATGGTCCAATTCAGACCCAGGATACCTGAGGTTATTGTGGTGTATATAAACAACGATCGAGGAAGACATTGATATCATATCGAATATTTCGTAGCTTTTAAAATGCATTTTGGACACCAAAGTTATAAATAATATCACTATATTTCACGATATTTTGAACAAATAGAAAACTATTTTCTAAGATATGGTAATGGCATTTCCATTTTTAATTGAATGAATGGAAAATATAAAGGATGTTTTGGCAATCGCATTGTTCGTTTATAAAACCTGATGATATCGATTAAAAGTGGCAAAATTTAATCCAATGAGAATTACAATCAGTATTATTGCCAAACGCATTTTCAGATCCCGGTTAATACAACCTGATAATATCGATACAGAATCGAAGTAGTTCGATACGATATTAGGTATAACTCCAATATTCCTACCTGAAGACAAGGCAAAACCCAGAGATCCTCCTGCCGCCAGGACGCCAGAGATGAGGATGAGATTATAGCGACTGTTCTTGGCCGACCAGGCCCTCATGAAGTCGCCCTCTGGCTTTGGGCAATCGCTGAGCACGGCGTGTTGTCCTCCGCTGGCAAAGAAGCCCGGCTTCCGCTTATTAGCCTTCTCGCCCCCAGGACACTTCGGCGGTTTGGAGGACTTGGGCGGTGGTTCAGTGGCCTTCGCGACCTTGGGAGGCGGTGGAGTTGGCTTCTTGGCCGCCATTTGCTGTGGTCCAGTGTTGTGGATCAACATCTGGCCAAAGCGCACTGCGGGGAGGGGGTTCATGGTGGTTTTAGGCGAACTTATAAGCCACAACTGTTACTCACATCCTCTTTGAAGGCGCTCTTTGGCCGTTATTAAAAATCGGGACATGTTTCTTACTCGTCACTGTCCGCGAATCCTTTTAGACCTTAGTGGTCTTGGGAAACGGTGATTTCCTTAACCAAGTGTTAGACTACTAAAATATAAAATTTTTCCCAGTGACGAACTTAAAATTCAAAGCGATGTCTAAGTCAAATGCTGCTAGGTTCAGCAATGATTTCTTTAATTCTTCTTGGCCACATAAAGTTAAGGTAATCGTATTAAAATTATGCCTTCCCAGATATCTTACGGTGATTGGTACATCAATATTTAAGCTCAGAAGTTCGTCTCTATTATAGAATTTTGAGAACCTCCATGTACAGAAAATTACGTTTAAAAAAGTTTACAAAATGACCAACAATCCATAAAAAAATGTCAGTATTTTTTAGGCTTATCTAATGGATAGATGAAAGACTACTTGATCTAGCTATCAGGCCATAGAAATCAATCCCAGCTTCTGCATGGTATTTAAGGTTTTCAGGTTCTGTTCTTTAAGGTACATATATCAGAGCATATTCCAAGTACTGAAAACAGTTTTCCCGAATTCCCCCAAAAATGCAGTGAGCCAGTTTTTAGTAGACTGCACTTGGCTGGTGATAACAAGCGAGATACACAAATGTACAACTAGGAAAAATCGTGTACGATACTTTACACAACGGTTTTCGTGTAAGACACAAAAGCTCGGCCGATTAGAATAACATAGCCCCAGAATGGCCAGAATGGGGGCCATCCGAAGACCCCGAACCCACACCCCATTAGCATGTTTCGGAACGAGAATTTCACGGAAATTTATGATGCCCAGCAGAGAACACACCTCGGAGAAGGTGTCACGTGCGCTGTCAAAAATCGGTTGGTCGAGACGAATGCATAATAAAGAGTGGACAGTCGGGCAGACACGAAAAGTGGCTGGTAGATAAAGAAGCTAAGGCTAATCGCAGAATGCGGTCAACAAACTGGTTCCCATCTGGCTCAACAAGTGGGTGGACGCAGTCGTCGAGTGGGTGCAATGCAATTGGAACCATGAAAATATACAGTTTATTTAGCAGGCAATCGTGCAGGAAAAACAGTTCAACGACGGTGGGCCCGTTTGTAGAGTCGCTTCCTCTTCTTGTTGTCCTGCCGGATGGCGATAATCGAGATGAATACGAATCCCAGAAAGACGATGGCCGTGACGAAGCATCGGATGGCCACCGTTTGGTAGGCCTCCTCCGCCTTTGCCTTGAAGTCCTCCGGATCGTGGAATATTAGCGGCAGGGGTAGATCCATCAGCAGCACCAGCGACCGGAGATAGAAGCAAATGCCCAGGATATTCAGCATCAGGAAGGCCCAGGAGCTCATGAACAGGCAAAAGAACGAGCACTTTCGGCCACAAACCATTTTCGATTCGTTCCAATCCGAACTATGTTCGACAGTGTAGGCGAGTGTTGCTCTGACCGCAACAGGTGCCAAGTTTAAACCGACTTCGAAAGCGAAACCGAAATAGGAATGCGTTGGACCGGCTATATATCTACATTCGTCGGCGTACAAGTACAACCTTGTGCGATTTCAGCGGCATTAGATCTGAGTGGTCGGATTATAGAGTTCAGGTACCGGTGCCTCTCGCTTTCGGTGGCGTTGTGGTTGGGTTTATTCAACTCGAATTGGATCAGTTTCGATCGGAACCATTGATGGACAGCTGACAGAACAAGTCTTCTATACCATATACATATATTTCTAGCAGCTACCCTCGCGGTCAGAATATTTACAAGTCGCAAAGTAAGGAAAAAACAATGCTTTTAAGTATGAAATCTAAAAAAAAATTAAAGTCTTTTCATGGATTGCTTTAGTAATTAATCAATTTTAAAACAATGCCTTAAATATCCCAAAGTAATGACTAGTTTAGTTTTTATCGAGTGCACAAATACAACAAAACCAATCCGCCTCATCTGCTTAATACAAGAAATTCGATCATTCCTTTAAGTGAATTACCCAACGTCAGCGAAAACTGTATAAGCTTTAAAAACTACACAACGCTAATTTAAGGTTTTATAAGTACATTGTTTTGCAATTTGAATGCTATTATTTTATCAAAGTTTTCTATTTATATCACTTGTGAATGTGGGGCACCGCTTGTAAGTAGCTGATTCATAAAAGGGCAGACTCCTATTTAGATTCCTCGCGTGATTCATGCCTAAGATACTGTATTAAAATAGGGAGCTATATATATTAAAGCCATAATTAGCACAACTTACCGCAAATGCTTTCCGTTCTCCAAAAATTCGCAGAGGGGCACAAAAATCTAGCCGCAGTTGCGAAGAAGAATCCACAATAAAGTTTTTACCAGTTTCTTGAAAATCCGTTACAAAACATCAAGTTGTTGTGAAAATTCGTAAGTTGTTTTCGCGGTTGCTAAACTTTTTTTACACTCTGTTGTTTTTTTAACGTTTTTTTGTTTGTTTATGTGAATTGTCGTTAGGTTTTATGGGTTACTAAACATTTTAAGAGAAAAAACCAAGAATTAGGAAAATTGTCCAAAAAAATTATAATTGATATATACATAAATATTTTGTTTCACCACATATCGCAATTTAAGACAAAAGGCCGCAACTCTAATTGAGAAAATACGTTTTTGGTAACTTAAGCTGCGGATTTCGTAGAGCCCCCAAAAATGGGGGTCAAGTCCATTAGGCTAAAACTCGATCCCAAAGCGAAAGACCTTGACATTAGGGCGTTTGCTCACTGAACTTGGTAATAACTTAAGTGTCTCAAATTCCCTTTTGCACAAATCAATCAACCTGTCTTTTTTGTATTCCCCTTTCAAGAGTACAGAGAAAAAATTCAAGAAAAAACTGAATGGAGTTCCGACACGAAATCGTGCTTCCCTAATAGAGAATATTTACTATAATGTGTCCTAAATCCGAAAATTTATTGATAATTCTATTTACTCTGGCACCACTAATAACTTTGAATTTAAATCGGTTATTTGTAAAAACGTTTCTAAATTTTGTTGATTATAGTTAAAAGAATCTAAATGCGACACGATCATGCTTAAAATGTTCAAATAAATGTTCTTTCTTGTATTGTTATGTTCTCAGTGTAGAGTTTGGGTTACAGTTAAATCGTTGTTATTTGCCTTATTTGCTCAGCACATTCTTCATTGCAATTGCACACACACTTGTTTCCTTTTTCTGTTTATGTTTTTGTTGTAAGCCCATTTATCGGAATAATCAGAAAAATTATTTTTATGGAAAAAAAAGCAATTTTATCGGTCGTATATTTGCATAGCATTCAGTTTGTGGTTTCGGTTGAACTTGTTGGTGAATTCACAGAAATTAATTTTTTTTTTTAAATATAATGTCCACACTGATAAGAGAAAGCATTGAATTGTTGCTAATTTTCACTTCTTATTGTTTGTTTCTCAAGGATTTGCGATTTGCTTTTGATTTACTAGTTTGATTCGCACTTTGAAACACTTTTTAAAAATTTAAACAGAACACTTCAATGTAAGTGCAAATCCCAAAAACCGCGATGTGAATACAAAAATCAATAAAATTTATTCAAAACTATCCAATAGTATTTTTCGAGTTCTTCGAGCACCTCTAATTCGAATTTTCGACTCCGATGCGACCGCCGCGCTGCGAAAACAAAGATTGAGCGCGAGTTTCGTTGCGATGTGGTTTAAATAGTTGGAGTCTCTCGCTCTCTCCCCAACGCACAGTGGGAAGAGACGCCTATACTGATGCTCCCCTTGACAGAGAGTTGTAGTGGAGCTAGAAATTAGGTAATTTAAATTTTTAAAATATTTGCTTAATTGTTCATAGTTTACTTTGCTTAACAAAATAGTTAATATTTTACATATTTTTTATTATGAATAAGCTTGTGATTTTTAGACTAATGTTTTAAATATTAAAGAAACTTAAAAAAGTGTCAGTACACGTGTGCATTTACACAAACAAAGCTCCATATTTTAAAGCCAAATTTTGATTTTAAACTAAGAAAATAAACATTCAAACATTAAAAAGACATTCTAAAAATATATTAATGTTAATAATATCTCAAAATTTCATTTAACGAAAAATAGATATTTTAATTTTAATGATTTTCTGCGTTTACTGATTCCACAGTGCCCCGCTCCCTTTTCATTGCTCTCTTTCACTCAAAGACTCTCCCACGAAGAGTGACTCTCTGAGAGCAACAAGTGGGGCCAGTACAAAAACAAAAAGCACCGCTCTTTATTTCACTCGTGAAGTTGTGGGTGTTGAATAGCTAGACTGGGAAAGAGAGGGAGAGAGCTTAATGGTCCATTGAGTGAAAGAGAATTAATAAAAAGTAGTATATTAAATAACAATTTATTTTTTGTTTTACATTTTACCATAAGTTTAACAAAATGTTTTGGACCAAATTATTGAAAAATATTTTTTAATTTCTTTAAAATAATTTTCTATTCTATTATAAAGCCATGGAAATGCTTTAAGCTAAACATGAATCTTGATAAATAATTTTCTTAAATAATTTTTAGGGTTGTTAATTTGTATTCCCTAGTAAAATTGTATATATATAAATAAATATTAATTTTATAAAAGTACCAATTGTAGCTCAAAATTAACAAAAAATGTATTTTAGATAGATTTAGATTTATTTAATTAAAAATTTATTATGTGCTTAATAATGTATAAGGTATTCTTCCCTCCGTGTATTATAATACAATTAACATTTCCGATAAATTGAATTCATTATAAGTGCACTTAATATTCAGTATTTGATTAAGTGCTTTAATCAACCTATCACTGCTTCGTTTAATGTCGTAGGGAAAAGGGCACGTGAAGGACAACTACTGCCCGCGGCCCACTGGAAAACCACCTACTGAAAAACCACCCACTGGATCACCGCCCACCTGTTGGGTGGTCACTTGTGAATGCAGTCCGTTTGGCATTCAAATTTCGTGTAAAGGGCAAAGTGCATCTGGAAATGTGTTTTCACTCTTATCTCCCAATGCCAGCTGAAAAACTTTACATCATATTCATGTGGTAACACACTGAGAATAATAGTTATAAGTAAAGAAAAATGCAAAGATTATATTTCGAAATGCAATCTGTACAACATTTTTAATTTATAATCAATTAATATATTTTAAGTATTTTGTATTTATTAAGAATAATACAAAATTAATTCTTAGCAATTCAATGCATATAAGTTTTACATTTCAATGTCCACAATCAATGTTAATTTATGATATCAGTGTATTTCCAGTATTGTATTCATACTGAGTTCTTTTGGCGAACACTTTCCTTAGTTAACACTCCCACTCGTCGGCCAATTAAAGCCGAACATTTATGGCAAATTAATCGTGGTGGCTGAGAGTTATTTAAGCCATATTAAAAGCAGATCTGCGTTCGATTCTGTTCCATTATGCTTGCTACCGAATTGGCCAAATCCTCTTAATAGTTGACCAAAAATGGCCGGCGATCGATGTGGGATAGAAGCTAACTATCGATTACCCAAAAGGCTAACAAAAGTTTTCGCATCGCGGATATCCGCTCCCAAGCTACTAGAATTTCCATAATTATCCCTATTCGATCATCAAGTGGCGTCTCAGATCAGAAGAAGGTCATTCGATACTGCCGCCAGGATGGGAAAAGGGGGTCAGCCCCTCGGCTTACCGATTAGCATGTTAGCCCAACGGTTCGCGGCGGCTGCTTAAGGTCTATAATTAAGCGACATAAACTTGGGTATTAGGCGCTAAATACACAAAAAAAGTAAACCTCTCGAGTGGGAGAATAACAAAGGAAGGGGCGGGAGGGGGAGGTGCGCCTCTTCTCGATTTGCATAACTGTTCGTTTGGGCCCAGAAGTCGGGGGATTTGCCTTGGGTCTGGGTTTGGGCCTGGTTATGGATATTGGTATTGGTACTGGTATTGCTATCGGCATTCGGCTGCATTCGAAAAACAGACGGACGGCATACGAAAACGGAGGCAAACACACGCACACACCTGAATTTACCTGGGCACTGCACCTGTCCACATAAGCGACGTCTACGTTGGGCTTTCATTTGCTGCTAAGAAAGAGTAAACAGCGCGCGTCGCTTCTTCTTACCCGAATGTACCCTAAATATTACAGAATTTAAGTATTTTGGTTTTCAAAAACAGCTTATAATTAGTAAGCAAAAAAAACTAATAAGCAAAAGCATTGATAGAAATTAAAATAGAAAACAAAAAAATTGGTATAATTTTGTAACCTTAACTTTTTTTCAGCTTTTTAAATCCAAAAAAATGTATATCAAACGAAATAAAAAAATAATACATAGATATAAAATATTGACATAAAATAGCACTTTAATAGTAAATTATTAAAAATTGTATTATTTCTTTCTCATGTGATTGACATGAAACTAAAAAAAAGAAAAGTCTTGTTAATTTGATCGTTGATGCTTTCAGAGCATTAGAAATTCGGCATTCTTCGAGGGAGTTTTACTTTCTTCGTTCTTTTTCTTTTCCCCGTAAAACACAAAAGAATTTCCATCAATAATGTCAATAGTGCTGCTACAACAACAACATTAACACCGCACTTGCAACAGCAATAACAAGAAAAGCAATGGCAACAACAACACGACACTCCTTTTGGCTTTTGCCTTTGGGTTCTTCTTCTTCTTCGGCCTAGACGAATTATGGCCATTAAAGCTGCTTGGGGTTTTAAGTTATTAGGCAACTTGAATTTCAAACTGCACTTGACAAACGCACAAAAAAAACAAATCTCGAATGTGCAGTCAGTGGAGAGTGTGTAATTAAATAGTTCATAATCTAGGCTTAAAAGTAGAATTAAATGTTTTTTCTTTTATTATAACACTTTTATAAATATGTATACTTAAGTTGTACTTTAAAATAGGTTCCCATCAATCACTCTAACGGGGCCATTCCTTAACATAACCTGAATTTTAAGGTCAGTGGTCAGCGAAGTCCATCCACCCACCCCATTCCACCCACTCATTCACCTGTTGGATTCTGATGGGAGCAAATCGGTGACCGTTATTTAACCCCTTTAAATCGTGGACACCCCAAAGCTGCGCTGTGCATTGCTCATACGTCATTAACTTCAGTGACTTTGATCTAAATTTATTCGAGTCTCTGGGTCTTGTATTGATTGGGGTGCCGTTTTTACTATGGAAATGCTGGGGAGCGAAATCGATAAGCGAAGGAATGGGTGAGTTAAATGTGCGAGGGATTTTTAATTAATTGGATTAGGGTGAAAATAATAGTTATTAAAATTTAATGGGGTTGTGAAATATTTGTCGAAAATAGATTTCGGCTTTTGCATTGTCTGTTACCTCAGTAAGTTGAGACAAAGAAAATAGACACAGCCCAATATAAAGTTCATATTAAATACTAAATATAACAAAAAACAAATCTAACTTCGCAAACAAAAGTTGCACTAATAAAAAAATTTATTGGATATATATAATATATTTGTAAATGTTAAAAAAAAGGTAGTTTATATTACGGTTTGTCCTATCTTCGGTAGCTGTTCGAATAGTCTTAGTAATTTATTACTATTAATACAAAATTCATAGCATTCATAGCTTTATAAATTAATTTGTGTCTAATTTTAATATTTGCTAGGAAATTACTTACATAGTAAATACATGCGGAACATTAAATAATTGAGTATCGCCATCTGTCGGCTATATAAGTTTAAGAAACTGACTGTCAGATGGCGCCACTAAGCCAAGCTTGTGTTTGAGCTGAGAACTCCAACAAAGCTGCCGTTCAATTAAAGCTTTCAGCCAACCAATTTAAATTGAAACCGAAATAGATACAAATAATTAATAATAAGTGTGGTGCATTTTCGGCCAGGATTGTTTAGTTTGATTCGACCAGAACAAATAAATAAATAAATTAATAAATAAGGACTTCTGACCTTTGTATATACAAATCTATGGCCAGTATCTAAATAAACACTGAGCAAGTGCATCTTTTACCACAACCACCATAAACTTCTTCTTTTACCAAGGCAATAACAGTTTCACAACTGACCACCTCGACGCAGTCATCCCATAAATAAGACACTTACCGCCAAATCCTGTTGACGAAAAACAAACAAAAAGGCGAGAAAAACGCAGGCAATTCATGCAGTCGAAACTGTCATTGGTTCGCTTTTAGTTAGGATTGCCAAATGCAAAATGTCTTCAAAATACACAACAAAAAAAGTTTTCAGTTAGGATTTGATATGAATCTATTAAAGTTTTAAATGTTTTCTAATGTAAATCAATATTTTCCTTTTTTCTTCATATATTATTCAATGTGTTGCCTATAAAATATAATAATAGGCTCTTATCAATTAATAATATTGAATTGCCCCCAAAAACACCAAAACCTGCTCTGTGCATAGTAAAGACTCCCAGTCACGTCAGGAGCGAGGCTCGAAGTTTGTCAGCTCCCAAATCCAAATCCACTTCCATGTCCACCACGATTCATTCATTAATTCAGGCAAAGCGTCATAAATGCCACGCGGTTTTTATTTGGTTTTTCTGGCTAGTTGAATTCGTCGTTTATTTCTGATTTAATTAAGCAGCGTTTTTCCATTTGGCAATGTTTTTCTTGGCCGTTCCGCGAAGCATTTGCAAGTCAAATGCAGCGGCGTTAATTAATTGAATGGATTGAAAAATAACGCATACGCCGCGTGCACCGCGAAGAATTCTGCGCCTGCGAGCCATTGGGCAATCGTCTCGAATTCTCATCTATTCTGTGACCAGTGGCTAATTAGGCCCGTCATCCAAAATCCGCGGCATTTTGCACCCATTTTGGAGCGCACGCCGCCCGATCGCCAAATTCGGCTAAAGACTCGGCTCGATCGAAACCAAAATGCAGAGGGGGTCGCTGAGCGCCTTAAATCGGCATTTAGTGTGGTGTGGCAATTTGGCATTCGAGTTTGCCACCCTTCTTTCTGGCCCGATCGATTGCTGGAAAATTGCTTTCCACCTGGCCAAAATGTGGGGCAGTGGCTGGGAAATCTTTTATTTATAAACCAACCGATCTGTCCGCATCGAATTGGACATGGAACACTTGTTTGGCAGTCGCCGACCACTGGCAACAATTGCCGCTATTGACTTAATATTTGCTAATAGATTTCACATAAATCACATTCCACTGGCATGATTTATGCATGAACTCCGATCGCAGGTGACTCTCTGTCTCTCTCGGCCCTCTCATGCTGTCTCTTTCGCCCCGAGTGCTAAACATTTTTGAGATGTTGCTGTGGTGTTTTCGAGGCCTCTCAAGAGGAAACTCCACTGAAGTGCTGCAAGTTGCATGCTCCAATCCGAGACATTACGAATTATTGCAATTTTCTGTGACTTAACACGTGGAAAGCAGGGAGAGTATTAAAAGTTTATTTGATAAAGGTGTAACACTTACTCGATCTAAGTTTTCGTCTGCATTTTATATGAAGATGAGTATTTAAAAGCTAGAACAAAAAAATATATGTATATAAATATGGGCTATATGCACAACATTTTCCTTGAACAAACATTTGGCTAATCACATTAATTTTTAATTGCGCTCATAAATAAATTTATATTTCTAATAAATTAGAGCTTGTATTCAAATTTTAATCACGTGCACAATAAACAGTATGCAGATGTATTTCCATGTTTGAAAGTTTTCGATGTAGGCATTATTTAATGGGGCAAAAATTTAATTAAGCAATATAACAATAAACTCTTTATTAAAATGTAGCCCACTTAGGTAATCTATAAAATATTACAAACTCACATAATTTTGGCCGGCTGTATATTTAACATGCGAATTAGTCATCTAATCATTATTTACGACGTCATTAATCTGAGATAAGAATGTTGTAAAGCCAGGGCAAATTTTGAAAGATTTGTAGCATAATTAATCTTTTGATGACCCAATGCCATTGCAGCTAGTCATCGCTCCGTACCCCTGTCCACCCCATGGGGTTAATCATGGCGGCAATAAAAAATCCCACGAGCTGCCAGATGCGAATTCAGTCGGAGAAGGGGCAGACACCCGATCGATCGCTCGATCGATGGGGAGCTGGAAACGGGGAACTGGGGAACTCTGGGGCCTCAAGCCGATCCAAACCGATCCGATCCGATTCGATCTGATCCCCCTCCACGCACAAGTGTCCTCGAGACGAGACGGCGTGGCTGCGGCTGAAATCGCCCATCCAATATGGTCAAATGTGGCACGCAGCGGCATTCGAGGCACGATAAAGATAAATATGAAAAGCTCGCCTAGATGTTTCGGCCAGCCGGGGATTGTTTTGGGCTGGCGTTCGCCGATTTGGCAAGCGTTCATTATGCAATTTGGGGAGAATTTCCCAGCGACACCGAGAATTGTTACGAGAATAGCTTCGATAACAATTAGACGGCATTCTCCATTGGCTAATTAAGTTGTTAGCGGCAAGGCTGGATGTTTTCGATGGGTGTGGTGTTGTCTAAAATTGGCCAGCTAATCAGCGAATTCAATTAGCGCGCGCTTTCGAATTTGAGGCACCAGCACCCCCAGTGGAAATGCCGCCTTTCCTGCGACTCCTTAGTCGGCAAGTGGTCTGCCTTCAGATCCGAGCTCCTAACTCCCAGCTCCGAGCTCCAGATCGTTGCGTCATCCGTTTTGGGGCTCTCCAAGCAGCGGCCACGAGAATTGCAGTTTCACTTCAGCCGAGATACTTCACAAATTGGTGCTGCTTGGCCCGCTTTGTTGACTGCTCACTGACTGTTTGTCCGACGCTCAGATCGAAATCTAGTCAAGATCTGTCCGCTCGTCCGAATGTCCGCCGGTCCACCGGTCCGCCGGTCCACCGTCCGTTCGAGAGTACGAGTACGAGTGCGTGGTCTGCCACCGAGGAGTATAAAAGTAACGCAATGCACGCAATCCACTTACAGTTGCAATTCTCCCTCCAAGCCAAGTGATTCGTTATCCAGCGCTACCATGAAACTTCTGGTGAGTGGGGGGTGCGAAAGGATCATCGGGCCAAGGATCAGGACTATCACACATTAGGAACTCCGAAATCGAAAAACGATCTAGTTAATCTGTTCTTACTTCAAGTTATTGTTTTCAACAAGCTTTTGATTCTTTGCAAATTTTTGCTTGTCACCTTTCATTTTCTTCGGAAATATCAACCATCAGAGTTTAAGAGCTTAAGTTGCTCACAGGATCTGAAGAACAGATAAAAGGATAAAAATATCATTCATCAGGATATCCTTATAAAAATAATTCTGATACGAACAAAAGGTTTATTGAAATGATAGCTTATGATTAGCTTATTCCTTACTAACTATTTTCTTGGTTAAAATTATATCAGTTCAAATCTATAAAATTGTTATTGAATTTTCGGTTAAAATTTGGTTAGTTAGATAACTTGTTGTTCTTTGTGCTCCACCAGATCCTCACCACTCTGCTGGCTGTTGCCAATGCCGCTCCTGGACTTCTGGACTATGGACACTCGGCGCCAGACTATAGCTATGCGCATGCTGCTCCTGCCATTACTTACGCGGCCGCAGCTCCGGTGATTAAGTCTTATGCCGCTCCTGCCATCTCCTATGCGGCTCCAGCTCCTGTGATCAAGTCCTATGCTGCTCCGGCCATCAGCTACGCCCATGCTGCTCCTGCCATCAGCTACGCCGCGCCCACGGTGGTCAAGTCCTATGCGGCTCCAGTGGCAGTGGCTGCTCCGGTGGTCAAGGTGGCAGCTCCGGCCACCAGCTACTCGCACTTCAGCTCGGTAAGATTAGTATCAAATTGAAAAAGTTATTCATTAATTTATATAAAGCTAGCTTAAGGCTTAAAACTAAAAACTAACCAGTAACAATAGCATTAATAACTGTAGCTTTCCGCTCGTCTAGAAAGACAATACTAATTTATTTTAATTCCATTTAATAGGATGGGGTACCATATCAGAAAAAAACAACAAAGTCTTTAATGCCTGACATATTGATCTTTAAAAAATATATATTTATAAGATGTTTCAAAAGTAGAATTTATAAGCTAAATTTTGTTTTCAAAATATTATTTCCCAGATAGTGCTAATCGTGTTCTTTCTTACCAACAGGTTGTCTCCCATGCCACGCCCATTGTAAAGTCGTACGCTGCGCCGGCCATCAGCTATGCTGCAGCTGCTCCGGTCTACAAATCGTATGCTGCTCCGGCAATCAGCTATGCCCATGCTGCGCCCGCCATCAGCTACGCTGCTCCCACGGTGGTGAAATCCTACGCGGCTCCAGCCATCAGCTACGCAGCTCCGGCCCTGGTGAAATCCTACTCTGCTCCGGCCCTGTCCCTGGGAGGCTACGGTGGCTACGATGGCCACGGCTACGGCTACCACTAAGCTCCGGTACCAAAACACTCCAAGTCGATCCCGGATCGGAGATGGAGCAGATGGAGCAGAGACCTGCGAGGAGTTGCAACAGCCGAGGCACGTTATCCCTTTCGTACTTTCCCACATTTCCAACCTGTAGTCGAAAAATCTTTACTATCTGTACACTTCTTATTTATTTAAGAAACTATTAATATTCTTTTAAAGGCAAAATAAAGGAAAATTCTATTTTTCAAATCCCAGTCGTAATATTTATGATGGCGAAGATAACGATGATCACTATGGAGCTAAAGTTGTTCAGAATCTTGGCGAGATGGGGCCATGGCCTTCCCTGAATTTGACAATAGTCACTGGACTGCAGAAAATAATATGAATTATAATATCTCTACACTCAACATTTCTTAAGCCACTCACATCCGCGGGTCTCAACCCTAGAAAACAACGTAATAACGTGGAGTTTAACACGGCAACCAAGCAATCTGGCGCCTTCGTCCTGGGTGGATATAACTCCAGCCATATAATGCAAATGTGCAGAATGTAGCAATAGGTGGTGGCCATCATTACACTCTTGTATGCCGACACTGTGGGGAAATGAATATAAGATTAATAACTAATAAAAGGAAACTGTCAAATTGCCTTTTCTCGTTTGAATCAGAAATTAACTTAGGACCGATTTCTCAAAGTCAGGTTAAGTTATGACATTGAGGTTTATTGCTGTTTTGAAATCACTTACATTTTTAATATCATGTGAGAGTTTACTTAACTGAGAACGTCAGTTGGCAAAACAAAAATTAGTTCTTAGAATTGACAGATTTCAAACTAAAACCTTAACATGACATGGAGAAATCGACCCATAGTTTGTTAACTACACAAGTTTTAAAAGGGAATATTAAAGTACAGTGACAAACTTAATTATTGGCACAGCAAGCATGTTAAACTTTGAGGCTATTTTTCTTCTTATAATATGCTGATATTAAAATAAAACAAAATATTTTTAGATAGAATCATTAATTTTATGTTAAATACAAGTGACTTCATTAATTTATCTTTTATAAATAATTTATTAAAAATAAAAAACCAAAGAATGGACCAAATTTGCCTGAACAAAATTATTGGCACACTTGGGTTTTAATTAACTATTTTATTAAAACTTTATCGATTTGCCCACTTTTTTTTTAATTATCACATTTGCCTCTATAATCTTAATGGTATAATGATTAATTTTATAGCAAAAATTGTTTTAGTGCCTTAAAATAAAGGAAAAGTTGTTTGACTTTACAAGGTAAAAATAAAATCAACCGCATGTGTCCAAAAATTAAAATTTAATAAGCAGGATCAATGCAAATCGAAAGTAAACATTGGGGAAAGGATGCCCAGAAGCCATTTTTCCCATTCGGAGTCCTTTACCGCATTTAAAGGACCCACGCAGTTGCAAAATGCAGGGCACACTGGCTAATCCATGGCTTTGAGAGGCCAGGAAAGCGTAAGGATCGTATAAAAGGACAATGTCAACCCCCAGATCTCCTCAACACGTATCGAAGTTGATGATAAGAAGGACTTTGGTAAGGATATTCACCCAACAGCCTTTTTTTAGGCCCTGCATGATGGTTTCTACAAACGAATTGAACCTAGAAAAAATCAATAGATTTTAAAAGTCAAAAACAACCTTTTAGTGCAGCAAAATTTATATCTGAGTATGCCAATCGACTTTTGGGTCCTTTCAACCTTCTCGTATGATTTAATTATCCTTTCCCCAAGCAAAGAGCTTATGTTAGAACCCTTTTCAAGCCGATGGATTTTTTCTAGGAGCAATTCATTTGTAGAAACCATCATGCAGGGCCTGAAAAAAGGCTGTTGGGTGAATATCCTTACCAAAGTCCTTCTTATCATCAACTTCGATACGTGTTGAGGAGATCTGGGGGTTGACATTGTCCTTTTATACGATCCTTACGCTTTCCTGGCCTCTCAAAGCCATGGATTAGCCAGTGTGCCCTGCATTTTGCAACTGCGTGGGTCCTTTAAATGCGGCAAAGGACTCCGAATGGGAAAAATGGCTTCTGGGCATCCTTTCCCCAATGTTTACTTTCGATTTGCATTGATCCTGCTTATTAAATTTTAATTTTTGGACACATGCGGTTGATTTTATTTTTACCTTGTAAAGTCAAACAACTTTTCCTTTATTTTAAGGCACTAAAACAATTTTTGCTATAAAATTAATCATTATACCATTAAGATTATAGAGGCAAATGTGATAATTAAAAAAAAAAGTGGGCAAATCGATAAAGTTTTAATAAAATAGTTAATTAAAACCCAAGTGTGCCAATAATTTTGTTCAGGCAAATTTGGTCCATTCTTTGGTTTTTTATTTTTAATAAATTATTTATAAAAGATAAATTAATGAAGTCACTTGTATTTAACAAAAAATTAATGATTCTATCTAAAAATATTTTGTTTTATTTTAATATCAGCATATTATAAGAAGAAAAATAGCCTCAAAGTTTAACATGCTTGCTGTGCCAATAATTAAGTTTGTCACTGTAATTAGAAAGTAACAATTGAAATGTTTGAATAACTATTATTTAGCATTGAAGAATATAAACAAGTGGTATTAAATTGCTCATGATAATATTCAGTTTTCTAATGATTTCAAAAAACGGATATGACTCATACAATTTCGGAATTGGTTGTCTTGGCAACTGACAAAATAATTAAGAGTAGATTTGCTTACTTAGAGGCGGCACATAGTGCGGAGATGCGTAGCGCGTCATGTACATAAGACCCCAGGCATTTATCAGCAAAGTGATTAGGATGAGGGCGCTTCTACGAGTAGATCGCAGCACAAACGACATTACCAAAAACATCTGGCAGGCTGAAAATACAAGAGTTGTATTCAATTAAATGGTATCTAATATCACTTTTCAGATACAAATTTGTATAGGAATCGAAAAGTCTTTGAAAGCGACGCAACGGAAAGTTATTTTTCTGTGGAAATAGCATAAGAAAGTTTACCAATCAACGGCAGATAGAAGACGGTCATGTAGAAGTTCCTGTTCCGCTGCAACGTGAACTCTATGGCCACATCCCCGGCCACCGTTTGGAGCATGCCCTTGGGTGTATATCGCCTGCTCGAATCGTTGCCCACTGGCACCACGGACACCTCCTTGAATGTCCATCCGGATAGCGTGTTCACGTGATCGTTGGTCGGAATAGGCTTGTTCTGCTGATCGTAGATCAGTGCCATGTTCCCCTGCTCCTCCTGGCCAATCAGTCCCAGTTCGATGTCGCAAGTCACCCGCTCGTTCGGCCAGTTTCGGGCACTGTCCACACACCAACTGGTCAGCTGCAGGTCCTGGGCAGACAGGGTGATTTTTCCGCTGGCAAACACGCGCAGCTCGAAGGATCTCAAAACCGGACCCATGGAGTCCAGGGCGCCGTTCAGTACATTTAAGTTCGGCGTCCATATCCGCAGGTCCTTGTGCTCAAAGGACTCCTGATTATCGAATTCAGCAGGTTTCCAACTAAGTCGAGGGTCCTGCCAGTGCTGAAAAGTTCATTTTATTAATAATAATAATTGGGTTATAAATTTGTGCATGTTTAATTACCAGCATCATGTGCATTCGCGTGCGGAGCAAGGAATTGGGCTGTTCGTAGGCAATGGATTTCGTTTTGAAGTGGAAACGTAGGGAGTTAAGATTCGCCGGCAAGCTGGCATTCTCCGCCTGGAAATTGAGTTGGTTCAGAAGTTTCTGCGTCGGCGTTGGTTTAGGCACAACCTTAGCTATTTCCTTATCTGCAAAACGTAGCCTTTTAAAACTGATCTCTGAATAAAACCAAATATCCTCACCATAACCATCGAAGCTGCAATCATAGAACCACCGTGCTGTGTTAGTGCCATAGGAGCTGAAACTAAGATAGTTGATGGTCAGCGGCGATTCATCGATGAACTTCAGCAGGGGCTCCTTCTTGAATCCGGGAATGTAAACAAAGAGCTCACCATCTGTGAATGAAATTGGGCGATTGGGCTGTGAAGAACAGTGGAAACTGGATAAGGCCAAGGGACTTACTTTGTGTCTGGACAATCTCAATTGGCGTTGGCTCGTACAGTGATACCAAGTTCGAATCACTGTTCGTAGCCACACGCCTCATTCCCATGGCGGTGCGGATAGCGGAAAACTTATTTCCGCCGGCGCCTATCACTGCAAGCGGAATAAATATATTAAACAAACACATTATGTGGGCTGTCCCCAAAATCCATCCAGTTCAAGGTCAGGGTGTTTTTTTAAATTTCTGAATAACAAGTCAATGGTTTTCCTTTGCTTGATAGGGGAAGTGGATGAATGATGGCTGTGAAGGTTTGGATAGCTTTGTTGAAAATTTTAAATAAATGGTGTTTATCTGTTTAACTTGGCCCAATGTAAATGTGTTGTGTATTCCGACGGTTTCAAGAAATTTTATGTTTCTTTTTATGTTTTTCAAAAACTACTTGGGCAAGAATAGTTAATAATTCCGATTTATTGTTAAGTTGTCCCACAGGAACTTTTTGAGTTTTACCCAAATTTTAACAAAGTTTATTATAAAACGGAAATAACCAGTCATTATTTTTACACACATCTTACTCGTTATTCATTAAATAAATTTATATCAAAAAATTACCTTTATATAACTATATTACCTTTTTATTATGAATTTCCCCAAGCAAAAATATCTCGATAATAACATTTTCGTTCACAGCCTCTAAAGGAATGATCTGTATAGATACATTTAGAGCATTCTACCTACCAATCTCGTAGACACGATCATTAAATCGCATATGATTCGTCACGGAGAGCAGGATGTGGGCATCCATGGAGGTCATAACGTAAAACTTCAAGTGTAGCCGCTCCCCGGCCTTCTTGTTGTTGTTGCTCAGTTCATGAACTTCGAAGAAGTCACGGTATAAGTATCCTGGGTTGGCCATGTAGGTTTCGCAGAATTCCAGTTGAGAGAAGCTCACGTTGAATCTGGTCTGCTGCAATGCTGATTCCGCATAGTCGATCGGTGCCAGGCACAGAAGGCAGTAGGAGATCGCCACTAAGCACCAGCACCAATTGATAAGATTGCTCATCGTATCGCATGGGTTTCCCTTAGCTTCGTTTGAATACGACTGCGGCGCGGCTCCGACTGAAATTAACTGAAAAGTGTCAGGGCACTCATCGATACATTTTTATTCCCCCGATGAAACAGAAATATTATTTTTAATGTGCGCAACAATTAAAAAAAGCGTTTCAGAATGGAAGAAAAGGGTTTATATATATTATCAAAGTGCAAATGATCTAATCATCTAAAAAATTAATTCGATCGTTAATTCTTTGAAGGAGGCTACGACATTTTTTTTTTCAATTTTAAATTTTGTTTTTAATATCATTTTTTTTCAAAACCCTTTCTACTCAAAAATATATTCGGAATATTTTCCGCTCTACAAACTCCAACTACTATTACGAAATATCTTGAAAAAGCTAAATATTGTGATGATTTTCAGGAACGGTTTAACTACTAATCACTGCAAAAGTTGAGTAAAATTACTAGCCTAAAATTGTAATATGTTTTATACAACATATTCAAAACTAGCTAAAATTGTATTGAAATAAAAAGCTTAACTTTCCAGCAAAGTGTGCCCATTTACGCAGTATGTTTGCACTCAACGCCTGCAGCCACACTATTCCCCAGACCTGTTATCAACATTTGGAATTTGCCACTTTTGCCTTGTTTTATTTAAATTTTTGGGCTCGCCTTTCGAACCCAGTGGACTCCAGGCGACGCAAAGGTGCCGCCGCTGACCCCGAAGGACATGCCCGATGACACGCAGGATGCCAAGGCGCAGAAGTTGGCCGCTGCAAGGAAAAAGGTGCGAGAACCAGTGCCACACACATTTGTTTTGCTCTTGTGACGTGGACACATATTGGCCCACTAATATTGATTTTGTTTAACATGCTTATGTGGACACAGCTGAAGGAGTACCAGGAGCGGGCCAGCAACAACAACGGCCAGCCGGGGGCGGAGGAGCTGGTGGCCACCACCACGCAATCGCACTCGTCCACAGTTAGCATAGCCAGTAATCTGTCGGAGCGCTCCGACAGCGAGCTAAATGTGAATGGAGTTGGAGCCGGTGGTTCACAACAGCAGGAACCTTCCGTCTTGCCCACAGCCGCTTCCTATTTTACCCAAAACGAGCCGGAACATAATGGCGGCTTAGCTGAAACCTCAAATCTGCAGGCCATCCAGGTGATCATTGCGGAGAAGGCTCAGCTTAATGCAGAGCTCACGAAGGTTCGTTTGGCCTGCCGCGAACGCGAGCTGGAGCTGGAGGAGCTTCGCACCCTGAAAGACCAGAACCATCTGCGTCTGGAGCAACTGCAGCAGCACTACCAGGATCAGCAGTCGACGGGCGAGCAGCAGCGCCAGCAGTTCGGGCATCTCCAGGCTCAATTGCAGCAGTCACAGGCACAAATCAAGGATCAACTATCACATCTCAACGAACTGGAGGCTCAGCTGAAGCAGAGTAACCTCCGCCAGGAGGAACTACAGCAGCAGCTCTCACAAAAATCCAACGAGCTGGAGATGGCCCAGCTAAAACTGCGTCAGCTCTCCGACGAGTCTAGTGTCAGCACAGACAACCGAGTCGAGTCGCTGGTTCAGACCCAATACATGTACGAGCAGCAGATCCGGGATCTCCAGGCTATGGTGGGTCAACTTACACAGGATAAGGAACAGGCAGCTGGCCAGTACCAGAATTATGTACAGCACCAGAGCGGCGAGATCAGCAAGCTCAACGAACGAAATGCGGAGCTAGCCGATGAATTAAACTCGTTGAGGGAGCGGGAACGGCAACTGGTGGAGCATGTAGGCGGCTTGGAGCGGGACATACAAAAAAACCTCAGTCTTCAGGCCCAGTTTAAAGAGGCCAACCAGGAGCAGCTGCCTAAAGCCGAATCCAGCGATCAGGTAAACGCCTGGGTAACCTAGAATTACGTTTTTAGTACTCTCTTATTCCGCTTGCAGAAGGACTTACAGGAAGAACTGGCTGCCTTAAGAGAGCGTCTTGCCGACTTCGATTTTGAGCGTCACGAATTCCAGCTGAAAATCAAGTCGCAGGACGACCAGCTGCAAATTAAGGAGTCGGCTCTAGCCGAACTGGAACAACAGCTCGATCGCCTTCAAGCCGAGCAGCCGGATCAGACGAAACTGCTGGCCACCATGGAATCGGACAAAGTGGCCGCCTCGCGAGCCTTAACCCAGAACGTGGAAATGAAAAACCAATTAGACGAACTGCAACAACGATTCGTCCAACTGACAAATGACAAAGCCGAACTAGTTATCCGCCTGGATGCAGAGGAGTTTGCCAACCGCGATATCCGCCAGAACTACACCAGCATGGAGCAGAAGCTGCACACCAACGAGGAGCGCTTTAAGTTCAAAGACGAGGAGATGATCCGACTTTCGCACGAGAATGTGGAACTTCAACGTCAGCAGTTGATGATGCAGCAACAGCTGGATCGCCTACATCACTATGAGGTGGGTATTATATTCCAACTTCTCTAGAAAGGAGTTTGTGAAATGCAAAGGACCTTCTTTTAATTAAAAAAAAAACGATTATATTTTTAGGCCAAGGCTTATCATAGCCAAGAGGAAAAACAGAGCAAAGAAGGTGGAGATGCACCGGATAATGAATCTGAGGAACATAAGGATCAAGAGCATTTTGGCCAGACCCACGATCACCCACATTCTCATTCACTCGATGACACTCATGAGCATCCACACGATCATCCACATGATCACGCACAGGAGCATTCCCACGATCATTGTCATGATCATAACCACGATCATTCCCATGATCATGCCCACAACCATTCTCATGATCATTCTCATGATCATGCCCACGACCATTCTCATGATCATTCACATGATCATGTCCGCAATGACGACCACAGACTGGCAGCTAAAACCCTGCCAACCGCTGAAGCAGTGGAACGCTTGCAATCGCGTTTCACCACCCTGATCAGTCAGGTTGCCGACTTGACGGAAGAGAAGCACAGCCTGGAACACCTTGTGCTGCAGCTGCAAGGTGAAACTGAAACAATTGGCGAGTACATTGCCCTTTACCAAACACAGCGCCGCATGCTAAAGCAGCGCGAGTACGAAAAGGCCGCCCAAATGCAACTTTTACAAGCGGAACGGGAGCAGCTGCGCGAAAAAATCGAGACGCTCAACAAGCTGGTGGTCAGTTTGGGTGTGGAGCTCCCGCCAGATCCCGCGCAGTCGCAGCAACAAGAAACGTCCGCAAGTACCGAACAGCCAGCTAACGAGGGTGAGAACTCGCAACAGATCATAAACAAGATCCAGGACATCATTAGCGAGATCAAGGAAAACACGGAGCAGCCAACCCACAACCACGCAGGCGATCATCTCAACTGCTGCCTGGGCAAGTTTGAGGTGGTCTAAAAGATCGGATGTCGCTTGCTCGCTAAGTGCAATTATCGCCTGCTTACGTAAAATCATAAACTTTTGCTACTGTATTTAAATGTATTTGTACTTTGCTCCCCACATTCTTTTGTAAATGTTTCCAACGATGTGTCCGAATAAACCTAGTTTGCATCTAAGACGAATCGTCAGCTTAGACCAACAAAAACGTATTACCAAACAATCAACTTAAACGTTTTTTTATTCACACTTTAATTTATTCTTAAGGGTAACATAAATTCCTATTGGCATCTTTGGATGATGATGATTGTATTCCTCCCGTTAGCTAGATGTGTTGAAATGAGTTTCTTGAGTTAGGATCCGACATTTGGCTATAAATTAAGGGTATTAGCCACAGTTAAATCATCGTTAAAATATGATCGACCTGATGAAATGAAAATATTAGGTGAATTATAATTGTATGAAATGGAGTTTAATTAAAAAACTTGTATAACATTAGAATAAATAAAAAGTGCAAAGGTAGTTTCATCTACTTTTTGGCCTTTCCCTTTTCGTTTCTCATCTTGATCTTTAGGTTGGGCTCCGCTAAACTAATGGGCCGGCAGCGTCGACTAGGTCGTCCGCTAGTGCTGAAATATGTGGTAGACGTATTAGTATCATCCGATATTGTTTGTGCCGTAGTTCTGTTTCGAATTCTAATAGAAGGCAGTTCCTCAATGAGGAAGGATTTCGGCGTGCTGGTGCTGCCCGCCACTTCGCAAATGCCATTGAACAGGCTTCGTCGCGGCGTGGATCCGCTGATATCTGGAAAAATTCCGGACAAGTGACTGGGCCTGGGAACAGCTAGTCTAGCCTGCTGTATACTCGGCTCCTGCACGGAATCCCCTTCATCGCGGGAAGTGCAAGTCCTAGATTTTATCGACTCTTTTCCCCTACTCAATGTCACCGCATCCGGCACATTTGTGTGTACTTCCCGGAGAGCTCGGTCACTGGGAGTGGTGGTGGTTCGGCCCTTTGGCGGACTACCTTCTATAGTAGTGTCACAATAGATGGCTTCGCAGGATGAAGATGATTCCGATGCCTCATCGCTGAAGTTTTCCTCTATGATGCTGCATAGGCGATCGTTCTCCTGGTTACCGTCAGTCTCTGCCTCCTTCTTCTTGTCACATTCCTTGTGCACTGGGCTTTGTACTTCGCTGACATCTTCGTCAGATTCGTCCTCGTCGAACATAAGTTCCATTGGTCTTCGAGGCGGAGGTGTATGCTGTAAGCAAAACGGAACAGAAGCGTTAGCAACGGTGTATTACAATTAAATCACGGGTTACCTTTTTGGCTTCTGGTGCCTTAGAGGGCTCCACTTTAGAATACACCTCTGCAGTGGAACGACGACTTGATGACGATATTGTACTGGCAATCGAACTGGTTCTCGTAGGCGAAATGGTTGTGGTGGTGCGGGCCAAGGATATGGTCTTCCGCATGTCCCTACAGATGTCCTTGGAGCTGCGACGCGGGCCACTTGGTCTGGTATGCACATTAGGCGGCTCCTGCCGCGTCGTTACGCTGTCCTTGTCGACATTTAGGCGCTGCATCAGGTCCATTACGATGCTGATGTTCTCAAATCGCTGGCGATCATTCTGCAAGACTTGTTCCTCCCGCAGTTCCATGTTCTCTCGCTCCAGCGCCACCAGCCGCTTCCTGTACTCGCCTAACTCCAAGCGCTGCTTCTGCACCTGCTCCATTAGTTCCGCGTTTAGCAGCTTATACTGCTGCTCCACTTTGGTCACCATTTTATTGTTTATTTTAACCCATTGACGATATCCAGATAGACGCTAGAAGCGAAGCTTGTTTTGAATTTTATTTCAGAGTGACCGTGGTTGGGCTTGTAAGATATACCGCATTTTAGAAAATACAAAAATAAAATATTTTTGAAGATCTGGCATCTCTGAAATGGCGGAACCGATCGTAGGCCAAAAACTCAAACTGATTCAACTAATTAACATTTATAAATATTTGCTAAAATCTATGCACCCTTTTATTATTTTTTATTTTATTTAATTCTATTGTAATCTATTTACACTCTTCCACTTTAGGCAGTTTGCTTGGTTGGTTTGCGGATGGAATTTAAAGTTTAACTCATAAAAAAGAAGTTCGATTTCAAGTACAAAAAAACGTAACTTACAAAATATTTGTTATCCATTTCTTATTGAGAGACCTATTGTAAAATATATTCCACTGTTTCAACTAGATTCAACAGTGAACAGTGGAATCTGCTTATTAAATGGTATATTTTGTATGAAGAGACAATTTCTTAGTATATTTTCTATGTCAGATTGACAAGGCCACACTGCCAGCAGCACAATAAATTTTTTGTTTTCTCAACCGATTGCGAGGAAAATCCCGATATCCAGAGCAGATAAACGATGCTGCGGGTCTAAGCCACCAAATCGAAGTAAATAGGCGTTTCGGGAAGTGTTGGATACCTCGAGGACCCTGAAAATCACACGAAATCAAAAGGCTGTTCACCTGCCAGTGTGTGTGTGTGTACATGAGTGAGAGTGTGCCGTCGCAGTGTGCGTGTGTTTGTGTAAAAATGAAAATCAGTCAAATTTGTTTGTCGTTCTACGTCTTTTAGGCATTTAGGCAAACAGCCAGACTTTTACACATTTATACAATTATTCGCAAATTGGTAGGGATTTTCCTGAGGCACAGAACACGGCACGCAACACATACAACACCTGCACACTGAAAAACGATCGACGCAACTAGCGCGCGGATTATTAAACCCATTCGAACTCGGATAACCATTACCCTATTCGCAAAACTTTTGGAACCGCCTGCTATGCTGTTTCATCTTCGCTCCTTTGTTCGCCAGAAAACCACGACAAACACCTGCTAAAAACACCGCTGACAACCCAGAGATCCGAGAATTTCATTCACAGAAGCAAAAGCCCCAGTCGAAAACAGAAACCCGCTTCAAGGTGAGTTTGTTTGTAAATCCAACCCGTTTGGCTCTGTACTCATTACTTTTATTGAGTGCATTCAGTCCCCCAAATTCCCCGAGTAGTGAAAACTTATCGAGGGGCTTATCATTTCTATTTCGCATGGCGCCTAGAAATTTGGTAATTTATGGAATATTCAGAGACCAGTTCCAGTCTGTTCCATATACGCAATTATCTTATCGCCTGACCATTTTCGCTATGATATTTGTGCCTAATGATTGTGTGTATGTAAAACTGCATTTGCCAAGATACGGGCATATCTTATGCCGTAGAAGTACACACAAAAACTTTCAGTTCTAAGTTTTGCAGATACAATTTTAGTTTTTCAATCCATAGTTTAATTTAATTTAAGTTTAATTCGTAGTAATTTGGGATAGGCTCCCGGTTTCTTTACATTGAAAACTATTCTTTTCTCCCCTTTTTTCAAGGAATTTGAAATAAATTCGTTATCAGCACACAAAAAAAAATAATTAATTTCTATATTAATTTCTTATAAATAACATAACAAGGACTTTGATCTATTTTCTTGTTTTGTTCTAGGTAAGAACAAATTGAAAATTTAAAAACCTTTAAAAATATTACATTGTTTTATAATCAAATATGTATATCTTAAACATTATTATCTAAGATGTTATTGGCAACAAATTACAACTATCTATAAATACCTAGTATATTTTCGATATTCGAAATCTTTGTCAATTTAATTTACTTTTTAATCTTTAAATATTTTAGCAATAGGTTTCACCCTTCTCTTTTATTTAATAAATTCACGCTTTTTTTTTCTAAGAATTCGATGTTTGACAACATTTTGGAGTTGGCATAGCAATCAGTTTGTTCAACATGTATTTTCCCGTCTGTAAGGGAACACGAAAAGCCTTCTTCCACCGCCCATCGACTGAAAAGGGTGCAATAAACTCAGGTCGCTTTGATTTTTTACTTGTTCCATCAGCGAATGCACTTCGTTTTGGTTTGCTGTCGCTTTGTCTTAATCGCATTAAGCAAAACGCCTGGCACGCGACGCATGACGAAGGCAAGTGCAATAACGCCACCAAAGAAGCATAAACATGGAAAGAAATATAGCCCTCCCATGCCACCCCATCACTGACCTACAAAGAGTGCATTGCTCGACGGCCAACCAAAACTAAATTCCCTGGCTAGGGGTTGATTTACTTGCTTAGACTCTGCCAGAGATGCGAGTGCGAATTGTGACGGTTGAACTTCGATGGTGTGACATAATCTAAGAGCTTGCTGAAGCTATTTGGAAAGTAAAGCCATATTAAATAGGATATAAATCTAAAAAACAATTTTAATGGACAGTATTCGATCCCCGATTCATCAACCCAAAATCATACATGTTTAACTTTTGACAAATAAGTTAATATTATTCCAAATAAATACTTAAAGTATTCTAGATAAGAATAATTTATTGGTTAATAATACTTAAAAATGAAAAGCAATACTGTACCTTAAAAGAAAGAAACCCCCATGTTAGCTTTATTCTTCAGCCATCCCCGAGTGTGAAAGGATTTTAAGCTCCCTTCCGTAATTTTATGCATTGCACAAATGGCTAGCCAGGCTGCATGCATGAATCGCCGCAGAAAGGGCGTCCTCGGTCGCCGGGTTCAATGTCATTGGCGTGGGGTAGGCCAGGGTAGCACCCACATGGCCCCATCCCGTCCAGGAGTCTGTCTGCCAGTCTATTGTCGAGCCCATTATTATACATCCCCCACTGCAAGTGCACACTGAAATATCGAGTGCTGCTGCAGTGACACACGCAAAGATCAGAGGGTGGGGAAGGGAGGTGTAGAGGAGGGCGGGCACTTGTCGGCCTTGTGTGCGGCCATTTGTCAGTTGAATTCGTTGTCATGCACTTTTCGAGCGCTGCATCACACGAGGTTTGATTGGCACGTAGCGGAGTGGCGGCCGTTTCTTTCTGCCTTTATTTCTCTGATTTATGCTGCACTTCCTTGTGCAACCTGGAACTGAATCATAAAACTACAGTGGTCTCTCCAGCGACCGCCGTCTGACTCCAGTTTCGAGCCCCATGCCGAGGGCTTTCGCTTCCTCGGCGTGTGGATGACTCATAGTTTGTGTTTTACTTTTGTTTACAACACATTTGCAAGTACACTGCAAACCACGTTAATTTGCTGTGGCAATCTCATGCCTGAAACAGTTAAATATGTTTACTTTAGAAAAAACCATGTGCATTTTAATAGAACCAAAAACCATTTATTAAATTCAGATAAATAAAGAAGCAAGAAAATATCCAAAACTAATAAAAATATTGATGGCTACAAAGCAATTGGATTTGTTGCTTCAAATAAGAGCAAATTATTTGTTTTTTAAAAATAATCCAGCAAATCTTGAAAGGTTGCTTACTATTGCTTTCTACGGAATTTTAAGTTTTTCTATTTAGAGATAGATTTAAATAATTTATTTTGAAAGTTGTAAAAGTATAATGAGGCTTTCACACAGGTTCCAACTAAAATTTAAATTCTGTAAGTTTTATTTTAATTAGGGCCTGTAACTACATACATCTCAGGTACCAAACCTTTGCATTTTATGACATTTTCGATGAGAAAATTCTCTGTGTGCTGCGTATGCAAAATACCGAACCCAACACCGTTGTTGTCATTGAGTTCATCGTTGTTGTCTCCGCTGATGTTGTCGCGCCTCCGACTCTCATGATGTGTTTGCGTTAGTTATTTAAGCATTGTGCGACGGCGCTGAAAACCGCATTTTAATAAACCCTGCGATGCGAGCGGCAAAAACAACAGCAGGAATATCAACTGCAACGGCAACAGCAACAGCAAGTGCAACAATGCAATATTTGTGCTGCTGACGGTAAGTGAATATGTGCCTTACATCACACACTCTTAGTAAGCGATGAGGTAGCCGATGAGCGAGGTGGCGGGGCAAAAGCAGAAGCTTCAATTACAAAATGCAAATGCAAAATGATGCATGGTGAAACGCTTAGATCAGAAGTAATTCAAAACGCAGTGCTTAGGCTGATTAAAGGCAATTCGATGTGATGTATTCATTCATATATGGGATATAGAGTCGACTGAAGCGATACAAGGTTGTAGTAAGGTTGGGCTAATCGAGGAGAATAAATATGGAGTGGAAAACTTGTTTACAAGCAAACATATGTCAAGCTATCAAAGTATTTCAATCACTTTTTAAATGTTTTTTTTTTAATTTTCGCAAATACTTATTTATTTTCATGACTAATAAAACTGGTTACTTAATATACTATTGTTGATCAAAGATTCATGAGTCATTTATTCGATCTTAAAAAGGAATAAAAAATGTGTCTTTGATACAGTCATTATTATTTGCATAATAAATTGCATTTATTAGACCTTTGACCTTTGTGGCAATAATCTTTTTGGCACATTTAAAATCAGCCTCTCAAAATCACTTTGTGTATCTCCTGAATTGAATTCACCTCTAAAACATTCACCACATAATGTTTTTACGTCAGCGGACCTCTACTACAAACGGTCATTCACAAAAAATTATAAACAAAATCGGCGTGGATGAGCTATAAAAACATTGGCATAAGAAATGGTCGCGGATCGTGTTTTCTTCTGCATTTGTTACCGCGAGTGATTTGCACGGCGGTCACATATTATTATCGTACCGCGTGGCTTTTGGAATTTCAATGATGCGATGACCAGCTTCCCCTCCCTTTGAAATCATCAAAAGCAACAGCTGGCACGACTTGCAATTGAAATGTAAATGTTAATTGCTAGTCCAACGGTTTTGGCTTTGTGTAATTGGAACTTGGCCACAGCTAAACGACAAAAATAAATTGAAGAAATTGAAAGCGAAAGTCTCTGCACTTGTGTGGCAAATTAATTTATCAGATTGTGTGTATGTAAGCTGGTTTCTTTCTTAAGAACAATGAGTCACTATAAAATTTACATTTCCATCTCAACCTCCAGCCGATTCAAAATGATCATAATGAAGGCTGACACATCTTCAAGTAGAGGTTCCTTTAAAATTTACCATTTTAGCTCCAGAGTGATAAAAATAGTCCAAAGCTTGCCTCCAGAACATCTAATTTCAAAACCAGTTTTAGAACCTGAACGAACCGCAATGAAACATTTGCGCAAATTACCAAGTAAACAAAACGATGAGCTAAACGAAAGAAAAGCAAGTCAAAGAAAACAGAAAATCAAGAAAAACCTCAGAAAAATTACCATCATTAAGAGAACTGTGGGGTTTACTAAATTGTCCCAGCAGAAAACCGACTGGGGGACACTTTGCGGCCTGTCTTATAAAACTTGCGCAATCTTTTGCGGTTACTGGGCGTTTGGGTATCGGGTATTGTCTTACGGAGCGGGTCGAATGGGCGTGCTGAACATTTAACACCCAATATTTGACTTACATAATGGCCGGTGCTGGAAATGAATTTTGACAGTCGAGCAATTTGTTGTTAGCGTGCCTGGAATATGAGTGGACTTGGAATGGGCCGGAGGTTTGATTTCCGCGCTTTGATTCAATTTGATTCGATGTCGTCCCATCCCTCGGAACATAACACGCCCTTGTTTATATGTGCATTTGGGGCAATTAACTTGATGACAGTTTATTGGGGCAATCCGAAAGCGTTCTTCCGGGCTTTGGGGGTGGGGGTGAAAGTGGCGGCACACCTCGAAAACGTTAATTGAATGTAACCCGAGGATAAGAGCAGGACCTTAAAAACCGGACCATAAGCCAAGCCAAATTTTAGGAACGCCAAAATGGTATCGCATAAGGGAGTGACTCATTTCCCATATCGGGAAAGAAATTACTGAAGACCACCGATTTCAATTAATCGATTCGCTGTCGTTGAACCTTTCATATCAATAGCCGTTTATAAGTAAGAAATGTACATTGAAATATAATGGTCTTATGACACAGTCATAAAACTGCCCAATGCCGATAATCCAAATTCCTCAGATCGAGTTCAATTTGAAACAAAATGATTCAGTTACTGTTTTATATACTAGAAATTTCATGAAAATTATTTTGTGTTTGGGAACATTCGTCTTTAATTGATTTTTAAAATACCCTTTTAATACTTTAAATATTAAACTGATCAGGTTGCATATTTATGGAACGCAGTGTTGTCGGTAATCGCGCCATCAAATTTGATTTCAAACATGTTTCTTCATTCCTTTCGTTCATGAATAAATTCTTTTAGTTTTGCGCTGTCTGCCAAATCGAAGTTCTTGATAAGATATAGCAACTTTATAAATACCTGGTGTCTTATGCTTTAGATTTCCAACGAACTCGTTAGCTTATGAATCATAGTTTGTTTGAAGCTAATATTTGATTTGACTTCTAGCGATTCTCAGACAGTTTGGGAAACTTTTAAAGATAATTATATAAAAAAAATAAAAAATTTGAATGAGTAAACGGAAGTCCTTCCGTTCTTTGGCCAAACATTATCTAAACATTTTTTTCAAAACTCTTCAACCAAAAAATTAAAATTTTTTAATACAATTTTTTGTATTATTATCTCTTTGGAAATATTTTTATTTTAATATAAATTTATTTTTGTTTTCTTTAATATTTTACTACGAGTATATTTGTTTACGAATTTGTCAAAGATTTCAAAACTTTTTTGTTAGTGGCCATCTATTAAAATTAAATTATATTATGTTAAATATTGATCTTGAATATTTAAAATATTGCGAGAAATGTTATTCTCAATATCGATCTTATATTATCATATCGGAAACAGTTCCACATAGTTGTATTTCCGTGCAGCGGGGACCAATTTCGCCTTCACAACAGCAGCTGTTCAATTAAGCGACAATCCGTCTGGGTGAATCAAGCTGAATAGAGTGAATCATCCGCGGCGGAGGCCAGAGAAGGGAAATCGCAGTGGACAGCAATTAAGGAGCTGCCAGTTTCCACCAGGCCTGTCCCACTGTGCCACTTAAATGAGTCAAGACCGCCGGGTATTTCGCACGTTTTGCTGCTCGACAGGCTTACGGTTTAGCTTTTCTTCTGCAGATCTGCAGATTCTTCTCATCATCATCGGGGCTGATGACAAGTGCGGTCTGCAATTGTGGTTTCTCTTTGTCTGGGCTTCTGGGCTTTGTATCCATCGCTTGGTTCCACATTGCTTCCAGCTGTGACGTCAGACAGACGGGGCTAATTTTATTTTTATCAATGTGTTCACTGGTGTGCTCCCCGATATCTCTCTGCCACAGAGTTTCAGTAGAGACTCTCCCTGGGTCTCGGGTTTCTCTGCTTGAATTTTTCGCTGGGGCATCGCATGCGCAGCCGTTGGAGCTCCTCAGTTGGAATTCAACTTGCGAACTGAGCGCAACGCGCGTTTCACTCAAAAACACAAATAATATATACTACGCAAAACCTCTTTTGTTTACGTGCGTGTGTGAAAAAGCAGCGCTGAATATATTCGACTAATAATACAACAAATAAATCAGCGGCAAACGGTTATTATCAAAATGTAAATAAAACCCCAAAATGTTGATAGTGTTTATCAAGAAATAAAACGATTTCCCTTCGGTTTTCTTGTGGAATTCAATGGGCGTTGAAGGCATTTCGCATGCCCTGCCTTTGTAGGTTGTTGGAACACTTGGGTCTGATCATCATTTGTGTGAATTTATATCCGTAATCGTAGCCACGCCAGCTCATCCATGTGATCCCGCGTCCCGAGAGCTTGGGCTCAAATCGGCCACCCTCCAAGTATTGACCATTTAGGTTACTGAAAGAAAAAAAAAGAAAAAATGTATAAGATAAATAGTACACAAAAAATATATATTATTTTTCTTACCTCCTCTGACACTGATCGTACCACCAGGCCCCCACGTACATCCTGGCACATCCATGACCCAAGACATCGTGATCAAACGTCGAGAAGGGCATTCCCTTGTGGTATTTCAAGGAATCGCCAGCATCTCCTGAGTATTTACCCAAAACTGAAAGCGAATAGAACTCGGAAGCATTGCCAATGACAAAATCATCGTATCGGGCGTCGTGAGATTCCCCATCAAAATCTTTCATATAAACATACAGCTCGTAGGGCTCCGCAGTAGTAAGGAAGTGTAGTTTCTCCAAGCCTAGGAAAAATTCCTCGTTAAGGTCCCCAAACCCTTCGCTATACTCTTTCCAACTGCGATAGAAGTTTTCACTTCCATCTTGACGACGCTGGATAACAGTCCATCCAGATCCCGCGAGTCGATTGTCACAAAAAACCGGGAAGGGCTCCAATCCAGGGACTTCAATAACATGTATGCCGTTTGTGTTTATTCCAGCAGCTAGACAAGAGGAGGGATTAACCACTACTGGCAGAGAAAAAGATTTAATTAGTATAATACCCATTTAGAAATTTAAAAGTTTGATGACCGAGCAAAAACAGACCTTATAATCTCAAACTTACCCTCATGAAGTTTTTTCTGTGGTGTCAACTTAATGTAGCTTTGTTTTAACTCTTCCAGCTGCGTTTTTAAACTGAAAATTATATTTAAAAATCTAAAAAAAGCTTTAAATTAATTTGAATTGCCCACTTGGAAATCATTCTTTCAGCTTGGTTGTAGACAATTTCCAATTCATTGCTTTGGCCATTAGAAAGAAGGCTATCACAGTTTAATAATAAAACGAAAATGAAATAAAGCTTCATGATCTTGTCTCGTGCCTTGCTCTAACCAGTCTAGATTAAAAATATTTTTAGTGCTTCTTCAAAATAAATTTCTATATTAGGTAAATATAGTTTGATTGTCTTATCAATTGCATTGAATAATCGTAGGTCAAGTCTGCTATAGAAATACAGGAAATTGAGAAAACTAAACAATTTCAATGAAAATTACAGTATATTTCGCATTTCTGTTTGAGATTCTAAATAATGTGCTCAGCAAAAATGTGATGATTCAATGGCAACACATTTTGCATATTAATCAAGTACATAACAAATTGTTTTCACGTTGATCTTGAAGCCATTAAACCGGAGGGAGTAAACAGCAAATAATTATAGTATCTGTGGCAGCGCCTTGTAAAGAGTCACTGATGAATCACTGGTATATTTCGGCACTTGGGTCTTATCAACATTTGGGTGATCCTATACCCGTAGTTGTGGCCACGCCAAGAACGCCAGCACATGCCCCTGGCAAACAATTTCTCCTCGTATTTGCCACCAGGCATATACTGTCCATTAAGGTTGCTGAAATAATTAGGAAACATTAATAACGTTTAGAAAGCTTAAATTAGAGCTGGCAAACACTCACCTATCCAGACAGGCATTGTACCACCATCCCCCGAGATAGTAAAATGCACAGTTTCTATTAAACTCACGATCGTTATCCCGATCATATGTAGAAAACTTCATTTTGCGATGCGATCGAAGGGAATCCCCCGCAGTACCGGAATATTTTCCTAGTGCGTTCATAGCGTAGTCATCCTCTTCGTTTCCAATCGCGAATTCATCGAATTTTGCGTATTTTATTGTTTCATCGAAGTCCTCCAGGTGGACATATAACTCATGTGGCTCCAAAGCGGTCAAGGCACGAATCTTCTCAAGACCAAGAAAATACTCGCCCATTAGATCTCCGAATCCATCCTTGTACTCTTTCCAATTACGAAAGAAACTAAGGTTTCCACTAAATCTTTTCTGGATCACAATCCACCCGGGACCAGCTATATTATTTTCGCAGTACACTTGAAATGGACTCAGTCCTGGGACTTCCAGGGTATACAAACCATTTTCATTTACTTCTGAATTCAGGCAGGAAGTGGGGAACACCTCCTTAATGGATGTATTTGAGCTGTCATTAGTTTGTACTTGCAAAAGTGCCTCCTTTAAACTGAGGAATGTAATAGTTTAAACTGAGTTTGTTTACTTTATTCATAACTTACGTGGAAAGTACATTTTCTGACTGCTCATAAATAGCGTCCAACTTTTCAACTATATTCAGCGTCTGTCAAGGGGTTTGTTGATTTTATTGTAGTGTTAGTTTTCTTGTAAGGCCCTATTGAACTTACCTCCGCATGACAAAATGTCATTAAATAAAGTGTAATGGAAACCTGAAAGCCTAACAAACCAGTGAACCTCATTTTGCCAGAGAATCTATTGGAATATAATGATTTGCAGTTCGCTAAACATTTAATGCAATCAAAAGGGGGATAGAAATTGCCTTTGTTTTCGTGCCGTTTCTTATCAGTTGCCTTTCAAATTATATGATTATGATTTCTTGATAATTACTTAAAGCTTTTAATTTCCAATCACTTTTCTTTGCGAAGTCTTTGCGATTTTGAAAGGGTGATCGAAATACAACTGAAGAAATGTTTATAAAAGACAGCCATAAACGCGATCAAAACAAAGGCAATACACACACATGTATTTTAAGATCTGTTCGGATCACGTGGGATTGCCTGGTTTGGTTTAAGTGGGCTGTCCCAGTTCATGTAAAACTTTTCTACTTTACGCGCTGTTTGAGCTTGAAATTTCTTATTTTGGTTTATATCTTTTTATGGGGGTATAATAAATAAATAGTTTTAATGGTAATAATTAAGATAAAAATATATATATTTTTAATTTTGATCGTGTCTTTAATAACAGAATAACCAATTAAATAAAAAGTGCATGCCCATTTTGTTTGCCTTCCGTTTACATTAATTGGTTAAACATTTTCAAATATTTTTACAATGGAGCTCAGGTTTTAGGCTAATTAAAAATGTGAAGTGTTCAAACCAAATTATGAGTTGTTAATGTTGGGGACTCTTAATAAATACAAATTAGAGAATTTCAAGCTTCGGTGCCTCCACATCTCTTTGGTCTGTTTATCGAGGCGTCAATCTGAAGACAACAGAAAACAAGACATAAATAATAAGTATAGAAATTGTTTTATAAACACCCAGCATGTGTGAGTGTGACGGTGTGTGGGTGGTGACAGCGGACTTGGCTTTGGAAGTCGCTTGATGAACGCAGAAGTGTTAGCCAGTCTTAAGCCAAAGCTTCGCAGAGGCGGACGCAGAATTTGTACATTTCCCAGAGCTCGAAGAGTCCTATCAATCAAACCCATCTCAGAAATGAGATTAAAGCGAAGTTCCAAGCTAAAAGTATTACAAAATTGTGATTCTTGTGTTCCCTTCGATAAAAAAATATTTCTTGTTTCAATGAAGAAACATTTTGTTTACCTACCTTTTTAGTTTATTTATCATAGATTCAATGTATAAAAGAAAACAATTATATGTATTAATTTATAATATTTATATGTATCCTTCGTCCAAGTCCCAGCACAAATATTTGAAGTTTTATTGCATTTGCTTCCTAGCAGCTTATTAATATGGTTTTGGTCTTCCCTTTTCAGATGGCTATACCGCCACCACCGGGACCACCGCCGCCGCCAGGACCTCCACCGCCTCCGGCGATGGGTGGCCTTAAATTGGGCGGCGGAGGAGGGGGAGCAGATGTTCGATCTGCCCTGCTCAGCTCGATCCAGAAGGGAACCAAGCTGAAGAAGACCACCACGGTGGACAAGAGTGGGCCGTCGCTGTCTGGCAAGGTGTGTGGAGGAGAGGTGGGTGGAGGAGTTGGGGCCAAGCGGACCCTTAACAACAACACCAGCACCAGCAACCACAACAATGGCAGCAGCAGCAATGGCCTTGGCAATGGCACCCCCAAATTGGGAGGTCTGTTCGAAGGCCTCTCGCAAATGCCAAAGCTGAAGCCCGTGAACGGCATTCGCGGTACGTTTACTAAATTTTGTATTCAGATAAATATCGTTGCTCAACTGATTTCCGTTTTCCGCCCACGCAGCCGCGCCATCCGCCGGTTCAGCAGCAACAACGACATCGAGGTCCACAACGAACTCGGCGACTCAGCAGCGGAGCAATAGCCCCCCAGCCGCGGCGACCGCCTCGAGTGCCAGCAACGGACCCATGGACTTTAACACGGAGCTCACCAAGCACTTAACGTTGAAGCGCCAAAAACAGCAACAGCAGCAACCACAAGCACAGGCGCCGGCAAACAACACACATATCAATGCAACAGAAGCCAATCTGAGAACAAATCGGGGACCACCACCACAACCGCCAAAGGTGAGCGCTGGAACCCATGGCGAGAATGAATGATGAGATCCTCTATTAATAGAAATTTGGGGGGAGTTTACCACTAAAGTTAAAGTGCTGCTGGGAATTCTTAGAAAAGATAATATTAACAAGGGACCTACATTTTATTGCATAATTATGGCAAAAGAAGACTATGGTATTAAAACAGACTACCTTTAGGAAAGAAAAGTGTACACAGCTAATGGTATTTTTAACATGCCAATATTATTTTGTTAAAGATTGACGTTGTATGAAGTAGGAGAAATCATGATATCATTCTGTTCAAGACTTATGTTTTTTTAAAAGGAAAGAGTAATTAACCAAGAGAGTTGTTTTATGTTTATTTTGTGTTCATTATATGTAGATTTTTCTTCCATAAAGATTTTAACTACTGAAGTGTCACACAAATTAATTCAACAGATACTTAAATCATGCTACTGGATAACCTTTAAGTGACTTATGCGATAAATGCTTTAAGACTTGCTTTTTAATTACATGCAATTTAAAAAGGTGAACTTTTTATCAACTTTGCTCATTTATTTATTTATTTGCTGAACATCTTAAAGGCAAATATCTAGTAAGATATCTTTAAGAAAAACAGTGGATCTGAATGTGTCGCAGGCGATCCAATTGTCAACGAAACTAATCCAACCATTGTTTTACATTTCTGTGTCATCGCAGCCAACCAGCTCAAGTGACTCGATCTTGGAGCGCATGAACATCCCCCGCACAGCGCCGACCCCCTCCTTCGCCGCCAATTCGAGTGTCAAAGCGGCATCGCCCACGCTTTCGGACAGCGGCAGCAACAGCAGCGGGAGTGGAGGTGGAAGCGTCAAGAGCAAGGCGGCCAACCTAAAGTAAGTGTCATCTTCTAGCCACGAGCAGCGCAAATGATTGGTTTCTGGTTAGTGGGTCTCAACTCGGCAGTATTTTTGGAATTTGAGATTATGTTAATGTGGCATTTTAAACTTTCGCAATCATTCATTACTTTGGTTTCTGAACAATATTGTCGGCCTAATGTGCTTTCGAATACATAACCCATCCACTTTTTTTTTAATGCCTAGATAATTAAGGATTTAACGTTTCCATAAGACACATTCCAATTAAACTGCTGAGACCCCTTAATCTAATAGTGCCTGCCGTTTGGGATGGTTGACTTTTGGTTTTTTATTTGTACATTCGTTAAAATTTCTCTTGATTTTCTCTTTATTTTCGGATTACTTTGACGGGACTTTGTGGTTATCCTCGCACACCAAACACACACACACACTGTATTCACATCCACCCACAGTATCTCGTTAGGAAATAGTTTTGTAAATAGTTCAAAAACAACCACGAGTGCCTCGACCACGTCGCTGAACTCCAGTCAAACGTCATCGACGGGATCGCTGGGCAAGCTGGCGCCCAATAAATCCACATTGTTCGGTGCTAGCGGTGGTTCTAGTTCCGGGTTAGGTTCTGGTGGTGGTTATGCATCTGTGCAGAAGTCTTCGACGCCATCGACGGCCGACAGCACGCCAGCGGTCACGCCCACACCGCCCCCGCTGCAGCAGAACATGAAGCCGGCCATCGGCTTTGGCAAGCCCAATTTCGCTCCAAAGCCACCAGGCCTGAATCAACTGGCGCTGGCCAACGGACAGCAGCGTCCGGCGGTGACCAGGCACCACAGCATGAAGTCGCCCAGGTATACCGATACAGATTCAGCTTTAAGCTTCAGTAACTCCTAATCCAGCACCGCTGCTCCCGCTCATCAAACTCATTTTGGGGTTTGCCTTACGCTTATGCTTTTCTTTTGGCTCGCAAATAAGCTATAATGAATTATTTTAATTGAAGCCTGAACTAATCCCGGGTGTTCTCCCACAGATCTCCGCCCGCGGCAGGCAGTGTCAACGGTCCTGTGTTCCCCACCCAGCAGCATTTGGGCACAATGCGTGGCCCACTGCAGTTCCACAGTGAATCCGGCAGCCACAACACCAGCGCCGGCAGCATGAGATGTGCCCCCAACCCACCAAAGTGTAAGACTCCTATTTTTGATAATTTCAATTTACTGGTAAAATAACTTATAGCACCTTACTTAAATTATGACTCATAAATTTATATGAAAAGTTGCAAAAGGTTTAATTGAGGCTAACTTTTAAAATAATTTAACCAACAAAAATATTATTTTTTTTTTAGAATTTTCATTAACAAATAAATACAAAGGCATCTTTAAAAAGTAAATCTTTAATCTTTAGATCTCTTCAAAAATTATCTTTGAAATGTTTAATGAGTTTAAATGTTGACTTACTTTATCTTGAAAAAAAATTCAAGTCAAGTCTATGGAATTTAAACTAACTTAAAAATTTGACTCAAAACAACTGAGTATAAGTTTTTAAACTTACAAGTGATTTCTAGTCACTCACATCACTTGGAAGAACTAATGTGAACCTTTTTAAGTATAAGTCAGTAGAAGGCTTGAGAGTTCAATATATTTTCCGATTTCTCAATTTAACCATTTATCAATCATTTTTAAAGCTTAATAAGACATTGAAAAATCGGCATTGATTCAGTTAACTCAAGTATAACTCCATTTTTCAATTCAAGTGAAAGTGCTTTAAAACTAATAGACCGCGCCCTTATTTATTTGTTTTTTATATTGTTTTGCAGCTCGCCCATCGGTAAAACCCCCGCCACCGCCCACGCCAGCCCGCAGTTTCTCCAACAGCAACCTAAATAATATCGGCGGATCGGCGCCATTCAGTGCTGTGAACACGACTCTGGTCCAGAGCTCAGCCATTACCACGCAGGCTTCGCCGCCCATTACGCAGCCACCCTCGTCCTCCAGCAGCAGCAGCAGTGTGGCCGCCCTTCGCGACCAGTTCCGTGTGGGTGCTGGAATGTCCAATGGGGCACCATCGCCCCCTCTCCCGCCGACCCCCGCTCCCACCTCCAATTCATCCTCGGCCACCGCCAGTCCCAAATCGTTGCTGCGCGACAATGTCAAACCAATTATCCTCAATGGGGGTCCTCTCAATCCGCCGGCGCCGCCACCACATCGTAGCTGCCCACCTCCGCCGCCTCCACAGAGACAATCGAGCAATGTAAGTAGCCAACGGACACCAATAACAATGGCGCAGACCAACAGGTTGGCCCAATTGGCAAGGGCTGATTTTAAAAGACTGTGCAGCTACCTTTAGGAGTTGAGAGAGATGAGATGAGAGCCTGGGTTATAGTTTTTCTATTGATATAGTGTATTATCTTTAAATGTAGGAGTGCATACTTTCTGCATTATATATTTTGGGACTATAAAGCTGGCTTAGTAAAATGTTTAAGACAAAGACATACTGGGTTAGTACTTGTAAATTTAAAGTACTGGATAATAATAACCTTTTAAATCAGCCAGATAAGTAATTGAAATGATATTGAAGGTATGGGTATAAAAGGTCCGGACCTATCCTAAAGTTGGCATTCAAATTTTGCGCAGCGCATTTGTTGATTGCTTTCTCCCTAGTCACCCCATCTTTCTCCCCTTAATTGGGATTCTCCCTGCGCCTGCGCTCCACCTGATTGTGAGCACTCCTGGCTGCGCACTGCCTGTCGATGTCAGTCCGAACGAGTATTCCGTTTATAACTCACCTATTTTCGTGTTAAGCGGGGTGGATTGATTTTCCAAAACGAGACGTGACCAAAACACAGGGACCTTGCACACAACCCATTGCTCTGGGCGAATCCCGTGGCCCAGTGGCCCGCATTCATGTGCTTCTCCATCAGGAAAGAGTGAGGTGCTGGACGTGCAAGACGACGTGCTGGGAAAGGCAGATAATCTTAATAGAACGCGAAGAGAAGCACTGTGGCCAGTCAGTCAAGGTTATCAAAATGCTGATGCTTAACAGCAAGCGCAACGTAACTACAGGCTTTGATAGTCCCCCAAAGACCACTGATATCCAACTAAAACTCTTCTTATCTTTTGCAGGGCGGTTCCGGATCAGGATCTGCGCCAGTTCCACCACAGCGTCACTCCTCGATTAGGCCCAACGCCCCTTCGACGCCACCCACGCACATGGCCAATGCCTCGCATCAGTTTGGCAGCAGCTCGGGATTGTCGTTGGGATCGGGAGGAGGAGCTGGAGCCAGCGTGGGTCGCCTGGTCAACGACTTGGAGACCAAGTTCGGCAAGCGATTCCACAACGTCACCGAGTTCCCCAAGCCGCCGCCGTTTCTAAATATACATAAAGTGTATCCTAGTCGCACGTTTAAGGCCACCAACGGTATGTAGTCGAATGTGTGAGCGAGTGTGTTTGTTCTGTGAGTGTTTTAAATTTAGTACATACAAATTTAGAAGCATATGTAACTGCGATTATTGTTATATGCACACACCACACACATGGAATGCTGTTATATAATTAATTGTTTCTAAGGCACACGCTCTGGCATTTTAGTTTCGAACTTGAACGATATATACAACGATTTTTATCTCTACATAATTATAGTTTAAAAAGTGTATTACTACTATTATAGAATATTATTAATATTATTGTTTACAAAGGAAGGCCCAGAATACAATCCAACACAGCACACGCATATGTTAAAGCCCGCAGAATTTAGGAACCTTATTGATTATTGTTGTTTATTTTACTGTTAACGAGCAATGAAATAATTGTTTAAAATGTAGCGGGAGAATGTTATTTTGTATATTGCATAATACTAAAGTTGAATAGCTTTATCCAAACATTATATATTTTATACCTTTTAATGTTATACTTTGTTAAATTTCAATTGGGAAACGAAGCGAAAGCTTCCCCTTCGCGATATTACTACTAAGCACACACACTATTTTTACGCATAGTTTTATATTAACTAAACTTTGTACGTGTATATGTAAACAGAAGCCGATCCATAATGCATTGTATTCCCCCGCGCCCCCATATACATTTCTTTTACATGTAGCGCATGCTTTTACTTGTACCCCGGCTATCATTTTATATATATTGTACCTACGAACATCTCTATATATACACACATATTTTATCCGATGAATATTTAATTTTTAGTATGCAACAGGCACATTACGAGTAATTGTTTGTTTTAGTTTTGAAGTTATCTTTTGAAGAAACAATAAACCAAAATTCGTTTGGATAATATACATAAACATATTTCATTTTGTTTCATTTTGTGTTTCAAACTTTCTCCAATTTCTGGGCTGGCTCGGAGGAAGTTATCTTCTTTTGGTTATTGGTTCGATATCGTTTGTCCGTTAAAAAGTGATGCATTAAACGTGTTTTCTTCCAAAAGAATATGTAATCTAAGCCAAAGATCATAAGATAAACCGATCATATTTTCGATGAAAAGCGGACATATTTTATGTTATCGTTTTTAGTTAATTTATAATTTTAAACTTAAACTGATTTTGTTTTCTTTCAGCTCGAATGGTTTTCGTTCCTTAAACATTTCCTACATCAGCATTTGGCACATAATATCGGTATTTTTACCATTTGTATTACGTTTTCACTATATCGCTTGTAAACAGTCTATCATAGCAAGTTGAGTTAGCTTACCACCTTCGATCTTTGCTATCCTATCTATCTATCCATGTTTGTAAATATCTTTTCTCTCCCCTGCCCTTCGATTCTTCCGAAAACAGCGCCTGGAAACAGCAATGTAAACAACAACAACAGCTCGGTGGCCAGCAACAATAATACGACCACGACTCCCAATCCTGGAGGGTCAGGAGGAGCAGCTCCCGTGTTGAAGCCGGCATATGCACCACTGAAGAAGAACCGGGCACCTGCACCACCGCCTCAAGCAGGCGTGGCAGCCGCCACAGTGTCAGTTATCCGGCAGTCAAGTTTCCTCTACGGCGGAGCAGCAGGTGGTTCCGGGGGCTCCTCCAGCATACGACCACAATCCCAGCCGGCGGGGATTGGGCCACGAAACTCCACCGTCTACTGAACCGATTGAGGCGGATAATGGACTAAGCCTAGTGTTTGTTTTGTATATAAGTGTGCATGTGGAGTGTGTTTGTGGCCTCGTTGTTGTTGTGTTGTGTGCGGAAGTGTTATGTGCCACAGGCAATTGTTCAAAATGTCAAAGGAAAGTGCGTAGAATAAACCAAACACAATGGCACACTCAAAACCCCAAAGAGAGCTGGAAGGATAGGGGAAGTGCAATCTTAAAAATACCCGAAAATTCGTTGGCGTCTTCCCAGGCTGCACTTAAATAGTTAAAGCAGATAATGAAATAAACCCCACTCAAAAATTGTATATAGAACTAGCACCAAGTTAGTGAAATTATCAAGCAGCATCTATACCTTTTATACGCGAGGGTAAATGATTGTATGTACTTTTAGGAGCGCGCCTCTTTGCATAAATATCTTACTAGACTGAACATGTTAAAGCCCAACAGCAACAATTAATTAATGTAATTATATACGATATATAGAATCGATTACTGTACGACTTAATCCCCTAGAGCAATACACACACAAGAGAAAGATGTTAACAATGCAATATTCAAGCACAACCGAGAGCATTTCAACGAATCTCGCCACATTCCATTTTTAGATTTCTTTAGTTAAATGTGCAATACGAGTGTTCGTGTGATAATCTCCAAAGTATTTAGGTATTTATCTATCATCTGTGGTTTGGTAAACGTTTGTTAAACTCCTTTTTGGGCAATAACTATTGGAAATGAACATAATACACATTAATATTATTGTTCTTATTATTAAATTCAATCATTGTTGTTGGACTTGGTGTCATTAGAAGTATTATTCAGCAATTGCATAACATTTTATTCCGAATCAAAATCATTGCAGTTATAAATAAAATTACGAAGTCATTCAAAAATTGAGCAATTTGTGATTTTCATTGAGGCAAACAATTTGGTAAGCGTTTCTACAAAGTTATGTGGTATATGCTTTATATTTGAGTTAGTGTAAATGCTCTCTAGCCATAACAATTTTAGCCTTAATCCTAATTTAAATGTATAGTAAAGCCTTTTCTTGGTTACATTTAACAACAAATCGCACTTGTTCAACTTAAATACTAAATATGGCTGAATTTAAGCGACCTCGTTCTTCAGCTTGAGACATTGCACTGCATCCTGCAGACCCTGATCCTCGCGTTTGCGTATTCGCTCACATTTTGGGCAAGGCTGCTTGTCATTTAGACACTCTGCATGGAAAACGGCTCCGCATGGTAGGCACTTTAAATAGATATGCAAATTAGTAAAATACTGTCCATTTAATCTGCAAAAGTAACTTACTCTGAAGGTGGTGCTGATGTGAAAAGGATACAGTACCCTTGGGCTCTGACAGATTTCGCAGATAAATCCTTTGAGATGGCATAGTCTGCATTTCAGCACATGGGCTTCGCCCAACTTAAACGCTTTCTGCAGCTGCTGGCACAGCACACCGCGTTGAATCAGGGCCAAATCTGATATCGAGTAAAGATGAATGTGCTCGTGGAGATATTCCCTGCCTGAGAACTGATTCTGCAGCAGTTCGATGCTGCTGGGAGCACAAGTGTACAAATACGCCCGTATGAAGTTTAGTCGGATACGCAAAGATTGCAATTCAGCCATGGCATCGGAGGCAAAGTAGATCCTAGGGTTGAGTAACTGCATGTCCAAGAACGGATGTGAACGGAATTCGGCCAGAAAAGTCGCTGCCCGCTTGCTCACGCTGTACTTCCGGAAATCCCAATTATAAATAATGCGGGCGGGTATCAGTTGCATCTCCACGTCCATGCAGCTGCTGCAGTAGTAACCACCACTAAAGGCGCAAACTCTGAAGTGGATAATTTTTTATAGTTGGATCTAATGAAAAGCTTTATGCTTTATACTTACTGAAAGTTGGAGTAACCAATGCCCAGCGGATGCTGACAGCTCTTGCACAGAAATCCTTGGGAATCCAGACCCGGCTCTCGCGCCAGTTGGCACAACTGGGCCACCATTTGCTGCAGCTCCACCATGTCAAACTCGGAGGTGAGCAGCTCGAATTCAGAGTTTGTCTAGCACAGGAATATACATTGTAGTTTCGTTTATGCCACTTATGCCTCTTTTACTTACATCCAGTGAATGCAGATCACTCAAGTCTTCCGAAATGGGAGGATCGCTGTCACGCTGCGGTTGGGCCACATTTAGGTTCGAAGCACTGGCCCGGAACTTCTCCCAGATCTCTGACCATCCTGCTCCTACCTCCCGGTTGTTCTCATGCTTTCGGAGCAGGGCATTATAGCTGCACCTGTCCGTGTTGGGGGAACGCAGACTGACGGCGCTGCTGACGCTTACAGATCGCTGGAAAAACCTCGATCCCGACAGATCATCACTGGGTGAAGTGGGTGTGTGAGTTGTTTCCAGGTCACCAGACCAGGAGGTCTGCATCAGATTGGACAGCGAGTTGCTGCCCTGTGGTAAAAGACTGGGTTTCTCAATATCCAACTCGGCAAAGGAGCCATCCATTTGTCGCTTGGATTTTTCGCGGGTGCTCTGCTTACTACCCGATGCAACTTCGGGCTCTTCAGGTTGACCCGCTTCCGCTCCTTCAACTGGTGTCTGCTCCTCGCTTATCACATCCATCTCATCAAACTTCTGTATCATCAGATCAAGGTTCTCGCGCTGGCTGAGATCCGGCACGCCGAAGTTGCCGCTTCGGCTGAAGGGGCTATTGGAAATGGAGTCCGAGAACAGCTCGTTGGTCTGCAGGGGCTGGGGCGTGGGTATGGCTATGATATCGGAGCTCAATGAACTGGCCACGTCAACGCCGCTGCTAATCTGCAAGGGAAGCACTCAATTTAGTCGGTTTGATGTTAAAAGTTTCCCCTTATTCTTATCTTAAAAATGTATAACCAGATAACAGATTTTATTCTTATTTTTTTATTATCTTTTGACTGTTTATTTATATAATTCCCTCTGATTTATGAACTAAACCTCCTTCATATGCTGAAAAAACTCATTCATAATCTCATATCCCGAAAAAAAAACATTGGGTAAGAGTAATTCATAAAGACCTTTTGAAGAATAATACTAATATAACACTCCCACGCCAAACAGGATATACTACTCTATATGGGCTAGGATAATTTATAAGAAGACGTTGAGGTAAAACGATTTGAGTACCGAACATACCGGACAGGATTTAAGTGCGGGCGTCCAGAGATCAGATAGTTGCAGGGAGTAGTCAGGCCAATTGTTAAGCAGGCTGGAGTTGACGGGCAGATCAAACTGCACGTAGGCTTCCAGGCTCTCCATGATCTTGGCGGCCGTCTCCAGGCCGTCGGAGTCCCGGACCAGGGCGTTCCGCTTATAGTACTGCGACAGCGCCGATCCGTTCTTGCGCATGTTGTTCAGGTAGGAGGAGAACACGGACTCGTTCAGCGACTGTCGCACCCAGGCGCGGCACTGGCCGATCTCCGAGGTGATCTGGCTGAGACCCTGCACCTGCTCGATAACCTGCTTGTGCATGAAGACCATGCATGGTGACCAGAAGCTGGGATCGGGCCTGCGCTCCACGTCGCCAGCGATGACATTGAAGGTGGCGGACAGGAAGGAGTCCTTCAACCCATGCAGGAACAGGGCCTCCAAGGTGGTGCACAGGGCACTGGTCTGCTCGCACAGACCCAAAACCTCTGTAAGCGAAAGACAATCAATGACAATTTCCGGGGGAGTACACACAACTCACCTAAGCTCTTCTGCTTCACCTCGAACTCGATCTCGCGGGCATTTTCGTTCAGTGTATTGATGAGCGCCTCCTTCACGACACTTTCGCGCTTTGATGAAAAGTGATTCAGGCTACGGAACAGGGAGCTCATTTGGTTGTCGATCCTGACCTTCTGTTGTGGTTTTCCGAGGGCCTATGCAAATGAGTAAAAATTTCTGCCCCAAAGTGTGACCGCAGGCGGTGCTCCAAATAAACAAAGAAAAATATACCAGAAATTAGTTCAAATGATGTGCTAGGTACTAGTTAATTGTATACATTTCCTTCCCAAGATTTTGAAATTCTTTAAGCTTTTACATAATTCTTTTAATTATTTACCAGTTATTTATAAAAAACTAGTTTTTAATATCACATTTTGTAGAACTTTGAAAGCCCGCCTAGAATGGATGCTATCGATATTTATAAACAAAATTGCTTACACTGCATGGTCACCCTAAAGTTTACAGTAGTCAAAACAGACGTTATTTTGCCCACCGTAACGGTTTTCACATAAATCAAAAATAAATTACATTTTCTTTATCTACAAGCGAATCAAACTGAATCCATTAATACCTGCAAAAATGCTACCCAAGGCAAACAAAAAGGTCAGATCTAATACTTCAGTGGACTACTCTAAGCTACTCAAACCCGTTCTGGTTATTCTTGACTTTCTTCTCAGATCAAAGCTTATGTGTGAACGCTCGATTATGGGTAGAAAAAACCCCACGCAAATTAACAACAACTGACAGATAAACCGTCAACGAGACAGAATATTAATTGATTTCGTTTGGATCTTTCCTATCGCCTCTTGTTATTGTCTTGTTATTATTGTGTTTGGGTATTTTCGGGTTTTGTTTCAATGAACCGCCATATATATTCTGTACCCAAGCTGTGTGACTCATTCAGATCTCTCGAACGCCAGGGAATTTTATTAATGAAAGACCATCCCGACTTGGGGGAACCAGAAAAAACCCGATGCACGTAGCCATTGGATATAATACTAAAATTAAAATTTGTGTTAAGGTCACGGTGACCAACAAAAGCGATTTTATGTATACACATATGTATGGCATGTGGTTGCTGTTGTTGTCAACGCATTTTTCAATATTTTTGCAATAAAAATTTTGTTGTTTTTACAGAAGATGCGCCGATGTTGTCGTTGTGAACCAACTGGTTCAGCATTCAAAATGCAAACTGGTCTCCGTCGCGCTTCTTTTGACTTTTCGACTGTTTTCGGCTTGATGTTGTTTTTCAAAAAACACATTTTCCATGTGGGCTGCACTCGGCAAATTGCATTTTATTGAATTTTATTGATACGAAACTGGTTGCGAAATCGTTAATAACATAAACAATTTGGCAAAAAGTAATTGCGAGACATGTTTCGTTTGTTGTTGAAATTTTTGTTTTGGGATGAGGCTTTGAATGCTCAAAGTAACACTCGTACAGAATTTAAAATAAAATATTACAAACCAGAAATACAAATCTGTTTTTAGTTTCAGCAAGTAAAAATAACTTTGAAGTCAGGGGAATTTTGTACAAATCAACATTCTTATAGGTGAAATTTTTGGGAATTACCAGGATTTAAACCAACATACATAAACTACTTATTTTTGCAGCAATAAGACTTTATAAGTATACCACACATTAGGAAATTTTTCGGTTGTTTTTTGAGAGCTTTAAGATTATAATGTATAAAATAAGTAATCAGTTATGGAAGTCGTCAGAAATCAGTTCGGTAAGTATGTTTAAAATAAAACAACTTTGCTTCTTCTTATAAACATATTTTCAACAAATTTATACTTCAGTTTAGCAGTTGTAAATTAATATATAGGGTCTGTAGCTGCAAAAAATGACGACGAAAACATAACATTTAAATTTGAAATTGCCATGTTTATATACACGGGCTTCCCCATTAAAAACTGCAAGTCGGATTTCGCATGGTGAAAAACCGTTGGAGTTTGTTGTGTGACATTAATGACGATAAACAATTAATAAGGCGCTTTGGGTGAAGGGTCGCGGCGACATTTCCCAACTGAGCCGACTCTATTAAAGTAAATAATATGTGGCGCGCATTGTTGTTCCTCTAAGCTGACTTTGCAGTTTCCAAGATGCCAGCGTGTTGCCATTGTTGCGGCCAAAGAAACCAAAGAGACCAAACAAAACGAAACGAAACGAAGCAGGCTGAAATGTATAAAAACGTTTGTTTTCGTAATACAATTTTGATTACTTCTTCGACGCCAGCCGCCCATTGATGGGCATTGTCTCAGCTCGGCCCCTTTTGTGCGTCCCTAAGCGATTTGATTTATGGGCGGAGGTGCTCGCGCCGAGAAGGCGAGATCCACAAAGGCCCCCAGCTACCGTTGGCCATTTGCCGGGATCGCAGTCCATTTGGCAATAGCTTTGTTGTAATTGTAACAATAATAACAGCCGTGATTCCCGACGCCGATGCCCCAGCCAACTGGGCAATCATTGACATCGCAGTGCTCTCCAAGGGCGGGGGCCAAAAAAGGGGGTTAGACTTGAAAAGGTACCGCTGATAGAAATCTTAATACCTCCATTGCTATTATCAGTTTTTAAAAACAAATCAAATTACAAATTTTGTAAGGTATAATGTGTATTATATGCCGGCATACCAATATAAAATGGACTAGTTGGGATTTATGACTGGCTTAATTGAATTTCAGTACGTTTCAGAATGCCTTTAAAGATTTGTTGGAAATCTGTTTAATGTAATTATTTTTATACAATTATTATTGTATTCAAAAGTCGCTTTTAATTAACCTAAATTAAGTAAATTCCTTTCTTATTCCTACTCTTAATTTTAGATATTTAAAAGCATTATTTATTAAAGCATTATCTTAAGCAAAAACCCTCTTTTGCTATAGCTACGCCCCTTGCTGAACCATCATGAGCCTAGGAAACTGGCTCTTTGATCGTCAAAAGCCAAATGCCGGTACAAATGCTCAAATGCGGAACCAATAAGCTGACATAATTTTTATGATGGGCGAGCGAAAAAAGTTTTGCCCAGGCCAAATGATAATTACATTCCAGAGACATCCGAAGATATGGTCACGGCTGGCTTTCGAATGCGATCATAAACGCATTTAAATTTAAAGACCATGGGGAGATGGTTATTCAAGGACGTTAAGTGCTTATAATCTAACTCTCTGTTTTTCAAATCTTAAAAGAATTTCTGAAGATAACTCACTCGTAAATGTGTGGCCACATGATCACGAGACAAGGTGATCTAATCACCGGTCGTGTTAATCTTAACCGCCGGGCGGGCTGAAATGCCAAAAGTTCATCGATCACCGAGACGACACCGCAGATCAACTCAACGCATCTTCATTGATCTTCAAAAGTCTGATCGATCGGTTCTGACTCAGCCCAGTCAAAAACCCCATGCATTGAGGCAAACAGACAAGCCTGAAATATGTTTATGTCAACGCCACTTTCAAAGTGTTTCGATTGGCAAAAATATCTTTATGAATTGATCTGAGCCGAGAACAAGAACTTGCTGGAGGAACAGGATCTTGCGAATCTGTGACATATGAGACGCATAACTTATGTATTGTTAGCATAATACTTTCTGAAAATCAAGCCAAACCTGTCAAAATAAACAAACCGAACGGAGCACATTCGTTTTCAATATCGATTTGCATTTCGTGTGTTTAATTTATGCGAATTTTGTGTCTATTTGGGAGCCGCTTTAGCTATTGTCTTGTAAATCAACTGGAGAATAGCACTAATGTTAGGCGGCTGTTAGCTGCATGTTAATGTTAACCCATTATAAAAATAGGGTACTTATAAGTAACAAAAATAAATTTAGTAACACATTAATTAAAATTGGGGTAGTTGTTAGGTTTTTATTAAACCTATAAGATCATAACGAATCTCTAATCTTAAGGTTAATTTTAAACAAATGATGCACAGCTGCTCACTTTAATGTTTTGTATAAAAAACGATTGCATTTAAATGTTTTCTTATCCGAAATCAACTTTACTATTAAGAATGGTAGTAAAACAGATCTAATATAAAAAAGTCTTTACAACATAGTAATAAGATATGTTTCAAAAATGTATACAAATTTAAAATGCCATTTTGATATTTGAAGCAGGCGACTGATAAAATATTTGTAAGATAAACAACTTTTAAGGAAAACACCAAATTTGGTGTTTATGGGGTTAAGCTCTTACGATCAGGTTGCGCGGCTGACCTTGAACGTCATTGACAATGCGTCAAACTGTGGCGACAAACCAGTATGCAAAAAAATCTGATCACTTGGGGGCAATTAAAGCAATTATTTTGCACTGTTTTCCGGTGGGTAGTAAAAAAAGAAAATTAGATTTATTAGAAGAGAGTGAAACAGCGGGGGAGTTACACTTTCTTGCGATCGCAATTCATAATTCCCTTAGTTTAATTTCTCGGGACTCTGTCGCAGTCGCAGTTGACGTCGATGGCGCTGCCGGCGCCGCTGCCGCAGCCAAGTCGAGCTCCGAGCAGCGGCTCTTGGCCAAGTTTATTGAAAGCGCAGAATCCGTGAGCTACGGACGTGTTTCGCTCGAGCGCATCGCGTATCTTCCAACTTCGACCCCCGGTCTCTCGCTCGCACCCGCCCGCCACACATAGCACCCTCTCGCTCGCGCACCGAAGTGATCGTGATATCGTGCCGCGGATTTTTCGATTGAGAAAAGGCGGTGAAAATATTACACATTATATATTGTCGGCTTCGATTGCGTCTGCATCAGCGCCTGCGATTTTGTCATCGCGATCATTGTTAGGAGCCGACGCTCCTACGCGATAATTATTCCGGCTTTGGGCAATGCCCGATTCTAAATTGTTAATTGCGTGACAAATTCAGAAAGGCCCAACGAAAATAATAATAATAATAAATACGAAACACCAGCTTCACCCACGATAATGCAGATCGATCCGAAGCCACGATGCGGTGGCAGCCTTAGCATTACCGTTATGCTGCTGCTGATCATCGGCGCCGATTTCGCCGTTGGAAGGCCTGGTATTAAATTAAAGAAAGATATATTACAATTAACTAAGACGATTGCGATTGCGATTTCAATTGAGATTACGTTATCAATATCGCATTCAATTCGCACCAGCATGCGAATCAGATATTTGGATCAGTGATCTTTTACACTTTCTTTGTCTTTACCTCTTTCTATTTGCGGTTTACGCTTTAAATGTTATGTGTGCTTATTGCGTATTTTCTGAAGGAAGCTACAAGTTTATGGGTGATATATAAAATTATACATTTATTAAATGTTTACCATAAATAATACGCCAGTCGAACCTGTTTTAGAGACGTTACCATTTAAAAATGTTCTATAACTTAAAGTTCAACGGTTCTGTTTGCACCCAAAACTTAAGGCTTCCTCTTTTCTTTATCTGTAACTAATTTTATGATTTTACCATAGCCCTACTAAGTTATATTCTGAACCCAAGTCCCCTTTCCCTCCCTCTGTCTGTCAATATCTGTTAGAAGTTCCGATTCTTCACTCAAACCACTATAATGCATTTGAAAAATCACCTCACTCGCATTTGCATTCTCCAAACTCACCAGCGCACAAGTTCGTTCTCACCCCCCAATGAACTTTGATCGTGATCGTGATCATGACCCACATCGGCTGGGAGACAAGTGTTATCCCCCAGCTAACGACTAATGACAGTTGCAGCAACAGACGGGAAAATCATTGGGCTTTACACTCAATGAATTTAAATGCAGAATAGGTCAAAACAAGTTCTCAGAAACTTAACAAAATATAGCAGGAAAGGACTACATTCCGTATTTGACATCTTTATATTATTCTTATTTTTATAAAAGAGATCAGGTAGATACATTCCTTTTATAACAAGAAAAAGGTGTTTCCTTTGAAATATACCCTTTATTGGCGGCAATGTTGCTTGGTATCTGTTTCTTAAAGAGGTTTACTGTTTTCGGAGATACATCTTCATTTAGCACAGCTTTTCTCGCATGCCTACTCCTGACTTGTCCCGAAGGCTTGTGCGTGCAATTAGCCTTCGCCGTTGAAGAGCCTTTAACTGCTGCCTTAAGCTGTTTTTGTTTGGCAAACAAACTGAAGAACTGGGCGCCGATCATTAAACTTTTGGGTTGAAAGCGAAATCAGGTAGCTGCTGCAAAAACAAACAGCGAGGTTCCCAAAGGCAAAGCCGTAAGAAAAACGAAATTCGAGAAGAGCCGATGTGAAGAGACCTCAAAGAAACCCAAAACCGAAACCCAGAGCCCCAGCAAGTGGGGTTACGTAAGCCGCAGATAACGTGACTGGCAAGGCTTCGGCAAAGTCGCCGTCGATCTGTCTTCCTCTTGGCGTTCGGGGGTTAAAGAAGGGGTTAAACGACCTCTCGGATGGGTTCCCTAGGGGGGTCCATGTAGTCTATAAATTTAGCGACGCTTTTGTCAAGACGATCCGTTAACTAAGTTGTTTACACCAACTAGAGACTAATGTTGTGACGCTTTTTTTGGGTCATGGGGGCCGCAAACAAGAAGCCACGAAAAATAAAAAACAAAAGAATTCGAAAATGAAAACACGAGAAAATTGTGCAGCATCTCGAAGAGTTGGGCAAAACCCACTGACCAACTAGTCAGGTTAATTGACCAAAAACAATTAAGACCAATTTATGAGCTCAGAGCTCATTTAAAGCACCAATGATGGAAATATCATTGGGGCTTAATGGATTTCTTTAGCTCTGCGCCTATTCAAACGAAATAGATATATTTTGGTCGCGGTTTTCAAATATTCGGCAATCAATGAACCCATCGTAATGAATGGACCCAAACCCGTACGTGATAATTAGCGAATTCGCACGGATCTGAAATAGGGAATCGTGCCTCACTTTCGCGTGGCTTGATTTATGATTCAGCCGCAGATTATCGTAATTAAAACACAATGGGATATCAACCAGTTATGGATTTAGATGAAGATATGTAGACACATGAGCAGCGGCAATTCGATTTCGACATAATAAAAACGGATTTGCCAATCTATTGCGAATTCCTCAAAGGCGGCCGACAAAAGCCAGTCGACATAGTAGAACCAATTCTGGAGCCATTCTAAGCCATTAATATTTATGCAATTATAGGAGAGGTGGGTTTCGGTTTCAGTCTTTCCCCTTGACATTTCTCAGACAATCAAAATCAAATCGCTTTTCGTTTGGCGATTTCAAGTGCAATAAACACGCTTTGTTTCATTTTGGTTCACAGCCAAGTATAATTTACAAGTTGGAATTTTGTTTTTGCGATTTGACTCGGCTTTTGACACATTTCGTTAGTCTCTGTTGTGTAGGTTGACAGCCCAATAAGTCGATAACTCCAAGGCCTGCGAGATGATATAAACGAAGATTAATAAAAATCCATTACATTTTTTTGCTGATTCCGGCGAAGGTTGGCCAAGCACAGAAACATGTCAAAATAAAGAAGATGGTAAACAAACTGTAAAATTGGCAAGTGCAAAGTGTGTTCAACAGAAATTCCCATTGTCTTTAGGTGGGTGCAGATGTCGTGAAGCCGTCAATCAATTAAAAATTAAATTCAATAAACATAAGTGGCAAGGGAGATGGCGATGGAGATGTCGATGAAGATGAAGATGGCGTTGCAGACAAGCTAAATTAATTAGCCTGAACTTGAGCAGCGGTAGAGGCGGAAGTGGGGGGAATTTCAATTATTTCGGCATTATCCGAAAACACTTTCGGCCACCAGCCGTGACGCAAATCATCTTCGCCATCTCTTGGGCATTCATATTTATGAGAGGCTAAGCGGCAGGCGAAAGTTCAGGGCTTCCTGATCTTCGGCCAAGCCCGTCCCAAAATGCAAATTAATCTCGATTGCTTACGGCCATAGAATAGAGATACATATGCACATGTGCTTAGCAGCCGGAACTGACTTGGCAGGCAAATTCGAGGCAACGCCCCTCGCGATCTGGCTTAGTCACATACTAGTTGAGTTTGTCGCAGAGCAGAAACCGCATTTCCAGAATTCCCCAGCGTCAGCCGAATTAAAATATTCCATATCTCCAGTATAGACAAACAATTTATTCAGTTATTCAGTAACTTTGCTGTAAACAGGAATCGAGGCGCAGATCAAAAATCAGAAGCTGCCTCAGAATCTCTCAGATATCCAAGTAAATTATTATTAATTATTCGCATTCGGCACGAGCGCTACACAATACCCGCAGTGAAAATAACAAAATCATTGTCGGTGCAATCATTAGCCATTAATTCGCTTGTTGTTGCTGTCGAACACAGCTGCTGGTGGCCTGTCACATGGATTCCCCGATTCCCAGACTCTCAGCGACAGAACAATGAGTGGCTCGTTTGATAAAACCCATCCACTTATCTTGCGATAAGTGCGTTTCACGAGTATATGGCTGGCTTTTACCGTGGACTTGCGGAAATAGAGCCATCAATTCGGTTTGAATTAATTGATTTTTAAAATAACCAAATCAGTAAATCGTATTAACTGCGTTTTCAAATTTAAAGACATCAATTAATAATCTTGGACCAATATTTTTTAGTTAAGTGGATTTGTCAAATTAGATAAACAATGAAATAGTTAAATAATGCTCTCTCCTCAGCTATTTCTTTTTTGTTTTTTGCCATTATATAAACATTGGCAAATATAGGCAAATAATCAAAGTGATATTTTAATATGATTACCTGTTTTGTCATGTAATGACGATATGAAACGCACAGTACGCCCTAAAGCCCTTTTGCCCGATTCAAATGGCCAGCCGAAACGAAAGACTTAGGCAACGAACTTGATGGTTGCACACCTGTCACACCCACACAAACGCACTTGCACATGCATACATTGACTAACCTGCCTGGGTAACTTTTAAAATTGAATTTTATCTGGTGGCGGACCTTTGTGTAACTAACAGTAACCACTGCACAGCAACCACACATCACAACAACCGCATCTGCAGCAGCAGCAGCAGCAAATGAATGGCCCATCTCAGTCAATGTCAATCAATCAGCCGCCACGGCAGCCAAATTGCCCAAGAGCCGCCCACAGCTGCCTCATCTGTCACCCAACCACCACAGCCACCGAATAAACTCCTCACCCACCATACAACATGCGCCCATTGAGGAATTTCAGTTAAACAAATTTACCTTTATGTTCAAAAAAGCCCTTTTGTTAGGACAATACTATTTTTGTTGCTTTTATTTTTCAAGGATAGATAAAGTATAGCGAATTTGGAAACCATAACTTAAACAGTTCCTAGAAATAATAAAATTGTTCAATTTATTATAAAAGTAATGGTACTTTTTCATTATTTTTGTTTGCTAATTATTTACCATAATTTGATGAAAATCAAACAACCTTAAGAAAAAGTTCAAGAAACTAAAAACACAGTTAAACATTGGTTAGTTATTTTTAATTTCAAATTATTTCGTTAAACATTCCTCCGAAGGTATTGTTGATGATTTTATGCAAAAGGTATGCAAATTTTCCAAAATGTATTTTAAACTTAGCGCCTTGAAAAGGTCATTAAAAATAACTGAATACAAAGAACTTTTAATACATTATTCAGTGAGTTACCTATAAACCAACATGCGAAATTTTTGAGATTTTAAATTCAATTATTTTAGCCTAATAGTTAGTTAGGCGATTTGTGAAATTAGCTTGGAAAAGTATTTTGATTTGATTAATTATCTTTGTAAACTGCAACAGAATTTAACTAAAACTGAACAGAATTAACTTGAAGATTGGGAATTTCCCTTTTCGGATGAAATCAATTTTGTTTTCTTTAAGGGATAAATAAACTTTATCAGACATGTAGGATAGTTTTAACTTGGACTTGATTAGGAGTTAGTTAAAGGGTGCTACCTCTCATTGTCACACGTTCTATCACTCTGTCATTCACCCACTTCCACTTGCCACTTCCACTTGCCACTTCCACTTGCCTCTTCCACTTGCCACTTCCACTTGCCACGCTTTTGCAACGCTCCAAAAGAAGCAGCCGCAGCCACAACGAGACCCACCACATTCTGCTCCCCCTCCAACAGATGTGCGCGAGTCGCCCTTCGCCCTCGAGCTGCAGCCGCCGCTGCTGCAGCCGGACGTGACCTTCAGCGCCGCCCAGGGGGTGGCGCCGGGCCGAAGGCCATCGACAGCTACGGCAACCCCATCGACGCCCTGCGACCCATCGACACGCCCGACGGGCGCAAGGTGGTCAGCGCCCAGGGCGTGCAGTTCGAGATACCCACGTACGCCTCGGGGATCACGGAGATCAGGCGGCCGTCCGATGATCTTCTGCCGCCGCACATTGGTGAGTTGACAACCACGCGAGCAGCGGCTGCCAGCGGTGCCACCACCAGAACGGGAACGGAAACGAAAACGGGGAACAGGACGAAGAACGAAACGAAAACCAATGCCTTGACAGCACCACACACAACCAATAGTAGTCGTAGTAGTACAATAGCCAGTACAAATAGCACTAGCACTAGCACACGCACCGCACTAGCCGCACCCATTAGCACCACTAACAAGCTGGCCAAGCGCGATTCGCTTGGCGGCCAGTTCCCCATCGCACCACCCAGTAACCGCCACGCCCCACCCTCCTTCTCCCTGATCAAGTTGAATCCCTTCGCCGACCTGGACTCACCCATTACCCAGATCGGTTCCCATTCCAGTCCAAGTCCCAGTCCCAGTCGTTGTCCCAGTCCCAGTTCCACTCCTAGAACCTCTTCCCTGCCCCTAGCCAACGCGAATTGCTCGAAATACTCAACTCCGAATCCTCTCCAACCAGATGCCATCGCTGTGGGCCTGGAACCCAGCACCGATCAGAAACCGAATCCGATACCGATTCCGAACTCATTCACTGGCACAGCATCAGCATCTGCACCAGCACCACTTCCAGCCACATCACTAACACCGCCCCACCATGATCCATCACCCGACACGACGACCACCGCGGAAGTGGAGGTGGAGCAGGCGCACCTGGTGCCGCTTCCACAGGAGGAGAAGGAGGATGGATCCCTGCCCGAGTATATCCGCGAGTTGCAGCGCGAGGATCCGAATATTGGGGGGCCAGTGTCCTGGAAGCCGGCAGCCGATGGAGCACCACTCAGTGTCATTGCCTGGGATCTGTTGCCGCCGCACCAGGAGCAGGATATCCACCGCGAGGAGGAGCAGGCGCAGGAGCCCACGATAATCACGGAGGCGCAACAACAGCCGACCAAGAAGGTGCAGGGCATTGTGGATCCCATTAGCCACAACATACGGTTCAGCCTGAGCAGTGGTGGAGCCCTGAGTCCAGAGCCACCACAGCCTCAGGCTCAGGAGCACCACCAAGGCGATGGGCCGGCACAGCATGGCACCAACGCGCATGTGGGCAGCACCACGCCCGGCAATCCGGCTCGCTTCCCGAATCGTCAACGTGGCACGGCCCACTACACCACAAGGAGCAGCAGCACCACAGCAAGGCCGCGCACCACCACCACATCAACCACATCAACTACAACAACCACAACCAGGGCAACTACAACCACAACCAAAGCACCCACAACTACAACCAGAGCACCTACAACCACAACGAGGAGAACCACAACGACCAGGACGACTACAGCGAAACCGGAGACGCGCACCGCCAATCCAGTAAGCAGCACCACCGAGGACCCAGGCACCTATCGCCTGATCAACGAGGAGTCGTACGCCTATACGTTGCCCACGTGGCTGCAGGAGGTGACCGATCCGGATCTGGATGTGGCCGTCACATTTGAGGTGCCCGCCGACAACGATCAGTACAACCACACGCTGGCCAGCGATCTGGAGCCACCTTTCGAGCCGTTCATCGACTTGGGCAACATTCAGCTGACGCCACCGCCGACCAGCAGGCCCACCACCACGACGACGGCAAGAGCCACAACAACCAGGACCACCACCACAACAACCACGGCAGCACCAACAACCACAACGACCACCACAACCAGAACAACAACAACCACGCCACGAACGACGACAACAACCACAACCACGCGACGTCCGAGCACGCAGCGAACCACCAAAGCACCCATACCAACACCACCCACGCACAGCACCCAAGCGCACCACCCAGAACCACCGCCAGTGAAACTGACCACAACCACCACTCACCACCACGCAGATACTCCGCCGGAGGATTCGAGCAGCAGCGGCAGCAGTAGCAGTGGCAGCTTCACCACCAACACCACTCCCATCCCGTTGGACGCAGGCAATCCCTTCGATTCGGCCACCATTCCCTCCTGGCTGCGCGACTTCGACTATCCGGATGTGGGTCCCGGCGTGCCCTTTGACCCGGACAACTTTGGGCCAGCGGCCAGCAGCACCCGTTCCCCCACCACCCCGCCACGCCTTCCCACCTTCCCGACCGCCTCCTCCGCTTTTCCATCCAAAGTCACGCTTCCGCTTCCAGGCAGCAGCAGCAGTAGCAGTATCGGCAGCAGCGAGGAGCCACCGCTGGTGCTCATTCCGCCCGCTGACCGCTCGGACTCCTCCTCCGTCGCCGACTCCAATCCCGGACCACTGACCCACCCCACTACCAACTCTATCACGCCTTTTGCAGCCCGCTTCGAGCCACCAGCCAGCAGCCAGAACCAGATCCAGCCAGCCGGCTCATCCGCCGAACCCTTCCCGCCCAGCAAGTTCGAGTACACCAAGAGCGACGAGGGCAAGGTCATCAGCACGCCGGTGGCCAACAATCAGCGTAAAAGTGAGTACCTTTGACCTTTCAAGAACATATTTAAGCTAAGTTCTGGCATGCAAAAAATTTGAGAAATAGTTGAATTACATTTAAAATTTTTTTTTTTATATTATCTAAGCCGTTGACTATAATTATATAATTATAATATGCTTCTTGAGCTTAGGTCATGATGGCGATTAGCCCTTGTGTATATATAATCTGTTTGTTTGTATTAGGCAATCCGAAGTTTTAGTGCCAATTTCCTAACATTGGTGTCAGCGAAAATACATAAGACATCTATACACTACAGTCAACTCAAGGGATTGATCTAAAATGATAATATATCATAAAGTTAGGCAAAAAACAGCGATATTTAAACATAATTCTTTGAAAACTAACAAATTTAGTAAATTAACCGATCGTTCCTATAGCAGATATATCTAATAATCGTCCGATTGTCATGAACAGTGTACATATAAATAACTACGACTTCGAGACAACTATAGGATATAGTTAAATAAAAGTTAGTACAAAATCGACTTTTAAAAATTTTCAAAACCATTTAATTTATACTTTTCCATGATATTGGGGCTACAAAATTTAAAATGTCGATTTTTTTATTTTATGGGCTATGGAACATAAGTTTTTATGGGACGTTTACTCACGAGCAATCAAGAATCAATATCAAATAATTCGTGTAGTTATACCCGTTACTCGTAGAGTAAAAGGGTATATTGTATTCGTGCAAAAGTATGTAACAGCTAGAAGGAAGCGTTTCCGACCCTATAAAGTATATATATTCTTGATCAGGGTCACTAGCCGAGTCGATATAGCCATGTCCGTCTGTCCGTCTGTCCGTCTGTCTGTCTGTCCGTCTGTCTGTCCGTCTGTCTGTCCGTCCGTATGAACGCTGAGATCTCGGAAACTATAAGAGCTAGAAGATTGGCATTTAGCATGCAGATTCTAGGAGTTCCTACGCAGCGCAAGTTTGTTTCAAAAAGGTGCCACGCCCCCTTTAACGCCCACAATCGCTTATATATGATTTTAAAAATTTAAATATTTCGGAAAAGTAAAAATGCAGTTTTATTGTGTTTATCAATACCTATCGAAATGTAGAAGAAAATTTTTAAATCGGACCATTCGTTAAAAAGTTATGCGTGATCAAAGTTTCTATCTCCATCTCCCTCGCACTCCCTTTACCTGAGTAACGGGTATCTGATATTCGGGGCACCCGACTATAGCGTTCTCTCTTGTTTTTTAGCTGTCTTCATGTCATCGTGATTACGTTAAATAAATTTTCTTTTGAGTTTTTGAGTTTCTTTATAATAGTTTTTGTTTGTTCTTCTTTTCTCAGCGGAAACTGCGGCACCAGCCATCAATACTGGAAAATATACTGGCGGATTTGGTGCCCCGGCGGGCCTACTGCGTCCACAGTCGACCAATCCCTCAGGTCCTAATTCCAGTGGAAGCTCAAACACCGACATCTATGTGGCCGGCAATAAGCACGAGTTCAGCACCATTGTGAAGGAGAACAAGTTGCGGCCCACTGTGAATCCGGGTCGCTACAACGGAGGCTTCGGGGCGCCCACGGGTGTGCTTTCACCTCAACCACAGTCCCAGTCCACGTCCCAATCCCAGTCCCAGGCGGAGCCGCGACCCTTCCAGCCGGTTCATCAGCAAGCGGAGCACAGGGATCGCCCATCCGGTGGCAACCGGCGGACGGATAGCCGCTTTGGCGGACCGCCCGGAATCCTCGTGCCCTTCGACAATGTGCAGCGGACTGGGGGGCAGTAGCGGAGTCCGGATGGCCGGAGGTCAGCGAATACTTTAAATTATTTATAGCCCATGTACATGTACCTATGCTAGAGCTAAGTGAGTAGTGGACTCGCCACGGGTCGCCACAATACTTGCGAAATTAAAAGTCTCAGAACTATCAACTTGATTTCTTTCAATTTTTAAATTTAAGACTATATAGTTCACTTGGAAAAACAGCTCATGATTTCAGGTCAATTTTTGTAGCCTGTTGAAGTCTGTTTTCCACACGGCGTACATAATTTAAGCTACAAAAAAAGGGATCAAAATATAATTATTATGTGCGAGAGCTGCGATAACTATTCAACTGAGTGGTGCGCCAAGTTCTATACAATATGGTGCATCGTAGTTGGTACCATTTTCACTGTGATCGGAATTTTGATGACAATTAGCTCATCCGAGGCGAGTTCAGAGAGAAATCATATAATTTATATTATTTCTATCATAATTAGCTTAACTTATTGGCTTGCTGGGATTTTGTTTTTGCTTGGTAATAAAATGGTAAGTAAAGGTCATCACAATTTAAGCCAAAATTTATTGATTTTTATTTTTAACAGGATAAAAAAGGATTGTTTAAGTGTGGAAAAATCCTCAGCTATATTTTCCCTATTTATACTGTTTTTACCGTGTTTACAATAGGTAAGTCATTATCATTGGGTTTAAAAGCAGGAAGCAATATTGAAAAAAATAATACCGAGACTCTTACAAAAAGGCAATCAGCAATTATTTTGTAACAATACATTTAAAAAACTTAAATTTAACTTAACTTAGGACTATGATAACTGCAGTAGGTCCGATTGGTAGATTTTTGGCTGCAACAAGTTCTTTCGCAAACCAAAAAGTTGTATTGTTAGTTTAAGATTTTCCGCAATTTTCGTATAAATTAACCTTAAGACATTTAATGTAAGTTAGAATACATTTCTAATCGAAGGCTACTAAGCGTATGAGTGACAAACTTAAAATCGTAGTGCAATCTCTAAAAAAAATTATTTCTGGTATGCCTTAAATGCCACAAAGCATGTGTATCTACACCTTCATAAGTAACCTTTCATCCTTTCATCAATATATATTTTCACTATTTTTCATCACGTATTTTTGGTTTCCTATTTTTGCATTTAGTTGTTCATATTTTCGCTGTACTGAAACTGTGCAAGTATGTAAAAGAACGCTGGGGATAGCTAACAATTAATCGTTTCCGCCTTCCATTGGAGGACCCATATAAATTTAATGTTGTTTTCGAAATTACGACAATGGTTTTTGGATTCTTTTTTTGTCTAAATTATTAATGAATTGCTGGTTATGGTGAGTTACATATATCTGTCATACCAAAATTGTTTTAATATTTTCCCTGAACAGGAAGCGGAACGCTCGTATATATAGTGCCTATGGAAAGCAATCAATGTATCTTTAATATAATGTGTCCAATTTGCTACTTTTAAAATATTCAGGCCGGCATATTTAAAAACTGTGATCAAAAATAAATTAAATCTTGAATTGTTAAATTTTTTGTTGCCTCGGGGTGGAAGTCATTTTGGGAGAACAATACTTTTCTTTCATTAAACGTATTGTACAATACAATTCTGCCATCTGAGATCAAAAACCTCGACCACTATAGAAATCCTTTTTTTCGATATTTATACATATATTTATCATGCAATGTCAGTATATGGAACAAAGCCTAGATATAGGTCCTTAATTAGTTCATCCTTTTCCTGACCGTATACAGCGTTTAAAGAGAAGATGAACTGGTCTTAATTTTATAGTTTCTGCTGGTGATTAAAGAGATCAAACATATTTAATTAAAAAATTATATAAATGAGGGATTGTTTCCCAAAAACCTCAATTCATTTCAACATGAGTCAACATTGTCCCCATTCGATTGGAGGCGAAACCATGCGCATTCAACAGGTGGAGTGTCGGTGCCTTGCATGCGGGCTGCTCCAATCTGGAATCGAAGCCATTACAATCGGAGGTCGTGTCTGTTCAATTGGAGTTGTCGTAAACGCGAGTCGGCATTAAGGTATGGCCCCTCCGCCAAAGCGGGCAACTTGAGCAAATGCAAATATCATAATTTCCGACAGCCCATCTGCAAAGTATCAAGCGGCGGGGGAGGGGAGTAGGCCACAAATGGGGGCCCTCCTCCGGATCCACCCCCAGGTTCGCCTCCGGATCCAGAGGCCAGGCCACCGTTACGAGGGCAGGACAAATAAAATTGTTTCGTCACGCCACCGCGAAGGTTGCCAGCCGCTGTCGAAATGAGGCTGGCACACGCAAGACCGGGCCAACCGCCAACCTCCCGGCACCACCCACTCGATCCACCACCCCCTCTCCCAGCCCGTTTATTCACGTGCTCCACCTTTACGACCTGCTCAAACATCAAGCTTATTTATTTACTCTAAAAACAATACCGGAAAATTAATAGCAATTTGTTTGGGGTTCATAAATTTGTCGAAATAAATGTCCTTAACTGGCGAATGGGGCCCCAAATGGGTGGTTTTCGGTGGTGGAGCCACGAAATGGGTCTCACCTGCTGCGAATCGATTGGCTGCCTCTGCCTTTGGCCGTCTCTTATCAGCTGGGCTCTGGTGCGTGACTCCTCTGTCCCGAGTTGAGGTTTAATTTTGATGGCTTCAATTAACTGCGTGTAAATGCGGTGGCCCCTCGCCCACCAGGTCCCCTTTTTTCCCAGCGATTCAGCACCCCTGCACTGAAAACAATAACATGGAATTTCAAAAACACTGAAACGCTTATAACAAAGAGTAAGTTGTAAAAGCTATTTATATTTGTAATTCCTATTGCTTATATAGAGGCTTCTGCGTAGTTATATTACAAATTTAAGTGTATATGAAAATTTCTTTAAATTAACTGTTTGTTTCAATATGTACCAGCTTGGGATTTTCAATCATCAAAAATAATGAATGCCCATAAAAAAATTTTTAAATAATGGAAAGATTATTAATTATCATTTTTGATCAATACCAAAATAGTTTTTAAGGACGAAATTACTGGAGTATTCTTTTTATAGTAAAAATTTCTATTTAATAGAATGACAAATTGTTGGTTTTTTCTGAGTGCCTAGAAGGGTTTGTTGAGATATTAATGAAACTTTATTGAAGTTTATTGCTGCTTGTCAGCGCATGTAAACTGGCATACAAAGTAAAGAAAAGCCAAATGCAGGAGCTGGAGTTACTGATGGTTTCGGGGGTGGTGGTCGGAAGGGTGCCCAAGTCGGGTCAAATGTAAATTGAAGGCAGGTAGTTCAGTTGCTCAACGACAAGCGTCGCGAATAGACGTCGATTATTCAAAGCGGAGAAGAGAGCTTCCAGGCCCAAAAAAATTAAAATGTGAAACTTACAACAAATAAAACTAATAACCGCGATCCTAACTTAAAATTCTCCCCATTATCCAATAATTAATCAAAATGCCGCGCAAGAAACCGAAAGTCGACACTCTCGAAGAGATTGAGACCAGTATAAAACTGCTATGCGATCAATCCAATAACCACATGAAAGTCAGGGCGTACGAGAAGGCTTTGTTCGGCTACAATCAGGTGCTTTCATAATTTTTTTCCTATAAACAATAGTTAAGTTATTATTAAAGACCTATATTAACTATAATCTGAGTGAAAATATTTAATTAAAATTTTGTTCAAAGTATTTGAATGAATGCCTAATTTTTTTGTATCTCGTTAACTGATTTAATTCAACTTTAATAAACAAATATATTTACCAGCGGATTGCTTAGATTTATGGCGTAAAAACTGTTGAAATGTAAGCGTCAATTTCGTAATTTGTGAATTCAACGATAATATGGAGTAAAAAATACACATAATTTATTTAGTAAACTTGTGTAATAAAGCAATTACTTTTTCTTAAATTTAAATATATATGCATATCCCAAAATTAAACATCTCTTAATATGGTGTCCTAAAATATGCTTAAGTATTTAAAACCAACCTAAGCATATTTTGGAAATTACATATGTTCTATGGTTAGGGATAAAACCAAAGATGCTTTTAAATTGGCATTGTTTTTAACATTTGAAATGAACGAACCCAATAGCCAATGCCACGGCATAGCTGGGTAATAGAATTTGGTTATTACGGGCTGTCGTGGCCAAATTCCTTTAATCTAAAAAAAAGTAAAATCAAAATTTAATAAATCAAAAATATTTATTGTTACATGATTGACACGATTGTTAAAGTTCATAAAGCTCACATCCTTGGAATGGAACCTCGCTAAAAACTTGAGAAAGCTTAACACAGTTTTAGATTCACAACAAGGTGGTGCTGATTAAAACTGTTATGTTATTTCGCTAAGCTCGCACCTGTGGAGTACATAAAATTAAGGGCTACAAATAGCCAAATGTTTATCCAAAAAATGATTTTTTAAAACCCTTATTTGTCTTATTTTAGGGCAAAGTTTATGTTTATCTATGAAGAAAAAACGCCATAAGCTTATTATCTGATCTTAATACAAATTTAAAAATTGTTTTTCTATATTTTTAAGCTGTTTTAAAGTAACATATAGTGACTCAAAATTTTGACCCATTTTCATGTTTGTTATTTCCAATTTTCCGATGTCATGAAATACAGTGACTCAAAATTGGTCTTCGGGAGTCCATACATAACTTTACCAAATTAAAGCCGATTCCAAAGTGGCATACCTCTAAAGATGTGTGATTTGATTCTCTAAAAATCTGCATTCACAATTTTTAATTTAACGTTGATCAAAATTTTGACCCATTTTCATGTTAGTTATTTCTTGATTTCCGATGTTACAAGACATAGAGTGACCCAAAATGTATATTTCTAGAAACCATAACTTTACCAAAACAAAACCGATTCCAAAGTGGCATACCTCTAAAGACTTGTGATTCGATTCCCTTAAAAACTGCATTCAAAATTTTCAATTTAACGTTGATCAAATTTTTGACCCATTTTCATGTTAGTTATTTCTAATTATCCGATGACTTGTTTAACGTTGACCCAAAATTGATCTACGAAAGTCCATAACTTTACCAAATTTAAGTCGTTTTTAGTAATATAAGCATACAAATTGAAATGTAGTCGTTTTCTAATAACTGCAAGGGTATATGAACCCCTTTCTTGTTTAAATTTGAAAGAGGTGAGCAAAAAACTATTTTTTTTAATTATTACTTTTTAAGAGGCGGGCAAAAATGGCCATTTCTTATTTTTTCATAATACATATTTGTAAGGGGTGGGCAAACTATTTTTTTTGAGCAAAGAATGATAAAAACTTAAAAGCTGCATATTTTTACAAGTTTTTATTTTTTCATAATTCTGAAAGAAGGGCAAAAGTTCAAACAAATTTTAGTTAAATATATATTTTTAAGCGAGCGAGTAATGTTACAAATATTAAAGACAAGTTAGTCAACAAAAAGAAGGTTCTGTAGTATGTGAAGGTAAATTATATAGAAGACATAAGATGGTTGCACTTCCACTGCTAGCTCTCCTGATCCCTCGCAGCCTCACCTTCGAATGGGGTGGGCTCAAGGTCGCGACCCACATGGAGGCCATTGTGCTTGGCATTCACACCGACCGAAAGCACGGCACCCGACACCTGATATCTGGCACCTGGCACCACACGCATGGAGCACGGTTGTTTTGTTATCGATTGCTTACCCATTTGGGAGCGCCAGTTTCCTGGCAACAGCCCATCATTGCGCCAATCAATCGGCGAGTGATTTGGTCAGTAGTTAGATTTTCACCCTTTGCTTCAAACGGTGGACGTGGGAGATTTCCAGCAGCGATTGCATAAGGATATCAGGACATGTCGAAGGCCATATCCATCCTTGCTGTGGACAAGGAGCAGGAGCTGCTGCAGAGCTTCCTCCGCACAGGAGCGGCGGCGGAGGAGGAGTCGCAGGATGAGGCCAACAGGCGCTCCAAGGGTCGCTCCCACAAGCCGCCCATCTGGGAGCGTCGCGAGTCCACGGATCGCGGTGGGCGTGGTGGCGGACGGGATGGCAAGCAGGCGGACGATGGAGGAGCAGGCGGAGGGGCAGGAGGCGACGGGCAGGGTGGCAAGCGGGGCAATCGGATCGAGGCCGAACTGAGGGCCGCCCGCAAGCGGATCGAGGACCAGATCGCCAAGAAGAAGAAGCCCAAGGAGAACTTCGTCGACTTCTACACGGACAAGGATCGGGCGGCGGCCGTCAGCGCAGGAGCCTTCGACATCAAGCAGAGTCTGCAGATCAAGCAGAAGCAGGACCGGAACGAGGCCCTGCTCATCCCCGACGAGGCGGACATCAGCTCGGTGATCGCACTGGGCCTCAAGGAGATCAAGAACGCCAATCCCGAGAATGCCATACACTTTTTCTGCAAGGTGCTCCTGGTTTCATAAAATACTTTAGGCCCATTTAGAATTATTTTGAGGAGTTAAAGAACCTCAAATACCTTCTAATTCCTATTTACATCTGAAAAGAATATTTACAAAATTATAAAAATCAAGAAAGGAATTGATCGTTGGCAATCTGAAATTAATATATTGCAGTTGTAACAAAAATGGATTGATTAATTGATAAATTTTTAGTGAGTTAGTTTTCGGTATCAGATTTTTATAAAATTAAATTTGAGCGAGATATTTTTTTTTAAAACCACCAAAACGTATCTTAACATCTTCGATTTATTATATTTCTAAACGTTTTCTTTCGGCATCTAAAACTTATAATCAAATGTATGCGTATTAATCCTCAGAATATGTATAAAACGTTTCTATTTACACATTATATTAGTTTATCAAATACCATTTTAAACTTGTATTAATAACCATTCCTAAAATTAAACATTTGTAAAACATAAATAGGAAATGCATTGAGCACCGTTTCTTTTAAATATTTTGATTACAGAATATTATTATTAGTCTTTCACTACTTTCAATGAAAATTATCTTTATAAAAGATCATTCAAACGCAACTTAATACATCTGTTGCATCGATCTAACTAAAAAGGATTTAATTTAAGTTAAGTGTAATTACTTGATTGATGTCTACTACAACAACTTTTTTTCTTTTATCAGGCTCTGGAGCTAAATAGTACCGACATCAACGCTTTGATTTCGCGTAGCAAGTGCTATCTGCTGCTGGGCGAGGCTTCCAAGGCGCTGCAGGATGCGGAGACGGCTCTTGGGGAGGACAAGAACAACATTCGGGCCATCTACCAAAAGGCCGAGTCGCTGTACTACCTGGGTCAGTTCGAGCAGAGCCTGATGTTCTTCCACCGCGGCCTGAGGGCTCGTCCGGAGTTGGCCCTATTCCGCCTGGGCGTACAAAAGACGCAGGAGGCCATCGAGAACACGATCGGCAGCAAGCCAGGTCCGGTGGCCGGAGCGCCTTCCGCTCCTGCACCCAAGAGCGGCAAGTCACGGAAGTCCGGCGAGGAGACGCCGAAGTCGCAGGCGGCGGGCGCAACAGGAGCCAGTGCCAGGATTCGCCAGAAGCCCAGTCGAGCGGACTTGGAGCGGCGCAACGCGCGCAAACTGCTGGGCGAACTGTGCGTGGACAAGGAGTACCTGGAGAAGCTCCTACTGCATCCGGACTTGGTCCGAGCGGACACCCACACGGAGAGTATATCCGCCTACGCCCGCGAGGCGGTGGAGTTCCTTAACAAGCGACAGGAATTCTGGCGCCAACAGCGTCCTTGCACCGCACTGCCCAACCACAAAAATCTGCCCCATGACGCACTGCCCAAGTGGTTCTAATGGTTACGGCTATCCTTGGGACATCGCTGTTGAGTTTTTGTTTGAGTTGAGCCAGATTGATGAGCTAAAATTAAACGAAGTATATGAAAAAATAAGGTACATTGAATAAATTAATGTTTGGCGGGTCATCTAGAACCATAAATGTTATATTTTGTATATAGTTTCATCAAAGTTTGAATGTTTTTATGATAAACTGAAAAAGAACAAGAGCGATATTTATTGTATTCCAATTAAGACCAAATATTGTTAGAGAGCATCATGTGTTTTGAATAGCGACTACAGCGGTCCAGCATGTTTATTGTGTTGAATGCTAATTTGTTTGTCATTACTTTAATCTTAGGCGTAACTTCAACGTTTTAACAGAGTAATTGCAATTTCTTAATTGCATTGATATACTTTTTTTGGTCAACTAAAACACAAATTTAAATGTAGCCTCAAATTGACCGAATACAACGATAGGTTAACAATGTGGAATAATAGGTAATTTTTGTCAAACGTTTTTCAATAACAATGGATACATATGTTTAGGTATATCATTCATATTGGAATCTGTTACAAAGTTCGATTGCTGCTCCAGAGTTTATACTTTTATTTCATAATTTGACTAGTACGGCTATAATTCATTTAAACATTACATTATGTAGAGTAGTTTAATACTTTGTCGCTTATATATTTCATTATTTGTTCGTCTTCGGCGAATCCGGTGCAATTGGGTTGAGTACGTCTGGCCAGCGGAAAACAAGTACAAAAAGAATGTAACACAGTGGGGTCGTTTGGGCTTTAACTATGTGGAACTATTAGTTTACTTTAAATTTAGTTTGATTCCGGCTATAAACTATCGAAACAAACAGGTAATACACTAGTAACATAGATTCCATGCGAAGTGCAGATATTGCCAGGAGTTCTTCTCCACGGATGGCCCAATATATTCGAGTATATTTAACATTAAATACAGCTTTTCGGAATGCAATCGGAGTGCAAGACAGCGAGCTGAAATGATGGAGTATTATATTAGGGAAATATAATTATCAAAATATACCAAATTACTCACCCCGTGTGCGTAGCTTGATGCTCAGTTGTTGGCGGGTCGCGTGGGCAGCGGTGGAGCATTGCCGCTCCTATTTGGTATGGGTGGTGGGCCCCTTCTATTCGGCAGCGGTGGTGGCGGTCCCATCGGTGCTCCCATCACTGGAGGGGGCCCAGCCGGAGGCGGATGGCGTGGCTCCGGCACATCCTCCTGGATCTCCTCGTAAATGTTACTGGCGGTTTCGTAGGCGGTATCGGGTGGAATCTGTTCCTTGGGCGACGGCACTTGCCGCGTGGGCGTCGAAACGGGCGTGGCCTGCTTGCTTTGCATTTGGCGAGGCGGTGTCGGCGGTCCGGAGAGCAGTACCGGAGCCGTGGGCGAAGCCTTGCCCGAGGAGGAGGTCGACGAACTGGCGGAAACCAGTTCCGTGGGCGATTGCGATTTCGAGGATGGCGTGGTGTCCATCGCTGGAGGACGAGGCGGGGCCGGCTGCGGCTGAAGCGGCGAGGGAATCAGGGGTTGAGATTGCGGTTGAGGTGGTAGCGGTGGCTTCGCCGGCTTGGGCACAATGCTGATGACCCCGACGTGGGGTAGGTGGCGAGGCGAGTTCTTTGGCGACATAGGCATTGGGGGACGGGCCGGGGGTCGTGTCGGCGGCTGCTTGGGTCGCTGCGGCAACTCCGGCGTTATGGCCTGTAGGAGCTGCGCATGCTCCGAGGGATTGGCGCACAGCGGTATGGTGTTGGTGGTGCACAGTTCGATCTCACTGTCCACCAGATGCTGCCAATCGCTTGACTTTAGCTCCAGGATAAGGTCTAGTCCGCAGACTTGGGTACTCTTTTTAGAGGCCGCATTCAAGGCCGATTCTCCATCTCGAAAAGTTACCCACATGGTGTCTTCCACATAGCGCACCAAGGTGACCTCTCCCATCTTGGATAGCTCGGCAATTAGGGCTGACATCACGTTCTCATCGTAGATGGTGGGGCCATCCTCATCCCCCGTCGATGAAGACTCCAGTACATGCACTACAATTGTGGAGTCCGGCGGTCCCAGATCACGGATCACTTGTTCAAAGACTGCACGTCTACGCTGCTGGTCGATCTCCATGATCTCCGCATCAATAATGGCGATCACGGGCCGATGGTCGCTCTGCTTCAGCTCCGAGCGTCCGTAGTGGATCAGCTTGCCGGGATTCCAGGCTGAGGCGGCGAAGTCGCCCTCGGCCAACGCCTTCCTTCGACGCCAGAGCACCCGATCCGTCCAGGCGGGCGCACGCTGCTTCTCCGACGTGTCGTAGTCGTCGCTGAACAAATCGTACTTGTATGTGGGATCGAAGCCAATCTCTCCTTCGAGGAACTCCCCAAAAACATTGCCCGCCTCCTGCTCCTTGCGCAGCTGATCAAACTCGAGAACGGTAGGAAGATCTCCATTTCGCACGCACTCCTTCAACTCGTCCTTTTCCATGTCGATGCGGTAGTTGAAGTCGCCGCACCAAAATACCCAATCGTGGGATTTCAGGGTCCTGCCCATCGGAAAAGCCAGTTTCCGGGTGATTTCCGCATAGTCTGCGTTCCTTTCGGCCACCTGGGACTGCCCAGCTGCGAAATGGGCGCACACGAAGCACATGGAAGTCCCGTGGAGCACAAATCGAATGGCACAGGCACCTTTATTTCCAGTGGCACCGCCCAAGCCCGTCTTCACGCAGTCGATGGCCACGTCCCGGATGTGCGGCGCATGCTCCGGTCGGATGTAGATGTACAGGCAAACACCCACCAGCTGCTGGTACGTGAGCAGCACGTAGTCATTGTCCCGCGAGATCGTCTTCTGCAGCTCCTCGGCCCACAACTTGGCATTGTCCGTGCTGGCCGCCATTATGTTGGAAGCATTCAAATCCACGATCTCCTCGAATCCGATGGCGTATATATCTACCGGATGATCGACGTGCTCTGATGGATTGTTCACGTCCACCAGCGCCTTGGAACGGGCAAGGGCGTGGCAGTCAAGCAGCCAGTCGGCCAGCGAGTCCTTGAACACAATGCTGCGGAAATGCTTGCCGCCGTTGACGTTGTAGGTTCCCACTGCCACACGGGCCATCCGAGGACGCACATACTCCGTGTAGCGCTTGCACAGTTCCCTCAAGACGGTGGTGGGAGCATGCAGCATGTTGGAGGGCAGCAGGATGCGAGCCCGATCCGCCAGTTCCGAGCTAAGCGTGGAGCCCACTAGCAGAACGTCAATGGCTTCCTGAAAATTTAATATTTATAATAAGTAGCAAAAAGAGAGTTCTTGTATTGATTATCACCGCTTACCTGCTTGGAATTGTCTAACAGATTGTTCTGAATAGTCCTGGCTGCCGATCGTGCCCCGTCCATTAACTTGGATCCTCCCTGGATGGCCCCGGTGCCGGCGTAGATCTTGCTGACTTCGTTTCCGTTGTTAATCCACATCTGGCGGAAGATCTCCTCGAACCTCGAAATATTCTGCTGCTTGCCTCCCATTTTTAACGATTCCAGCTGCAAGCCAAGCGTTTCCAATCCGAGGTAGGTCTGCACACAGTTCGTCCTATCCAGACAGTCCAGGCAATTCGTGCGCACCACACCGAACTGCTCGCGCAACACCTGACCACTGGACGCATGGAAGACGCCATAGTTGGCCCCACAGGCCACGATTCGCTCCTTGAGCTTGGCCAGCGCCGAGAAATTGCCGCCGCGGCATTCCTGGTGATAGTCAAATACCACGTGCGGCACATCCTTGTGGGCTGACATCCCGTGATGGCGCTGGAATTCGTTGCTCAGCATAGCCTCACCTTCCTTGCTGCCAACCAGAGAGCTGCCCAGTAGGTTCACAATCGTCTGGTAGCCATAGCGTTGCCTCATCATGCTCATGTGGCGATCAAAGGCGGCGGCCGAGGTCTCGAACCCTCGCGATAGCTTCACCTTGTGCGAGCCCACCTGAACTCCGGGCTGCTCCCAGAAGAGCGGCACTGAGCCCCGCGTCTGCACATAACTGGTCACATCGCCGTCCACGTAGATCACCTGCTCCGTCTCCACGAAGTTGGCCACATAACCCTCGTCGTTGGTGCCGCGCACATTGAACCGCGTGCCAGCCCGCTCGCAGCTCAGCCGGGAGATGATGGCGGCCCGGGCCTGCTTGGCGCCGATATAGACGGTGCGCACCTCCACGGAGCCGCACATGGCCTGCAGCAGCCAGGATTGGCAATCGATGCCGAAGCGCATCAGGTGGATGTGCATCATGCGGTTCCAGAAGAACCGATTGTCCGTCTCCTCCGTTTGCTGGCGTCGCTGGGCGCAGAGCGTGATATCAAACCGGTGCGATGGCGCTCCGGATGCCGAGGCACTGGCATTCGTGTGGGCAAAGTAGAAGGTGCCGGAATTAAGCAGCTTCCGCACCTCGCTGATCTTGTCCTCGTTGGGCGCGGCATTCTGCAGCGAGACGAAGGTAGTCTGCGTGATCCGGAATATCTCGATGTCGCCGATCTTGCCCATGGACACGCAGCCGGTGACCAGCACCAGAAACAGCACCGTGCTCTCGCCGGCGTTGAGCTGGAGGGCACCCAGGCAGCCGTAGGCGTCGCACACCTTGTTGTACTGCTTCCGGATCACATCCGTCTCCTGTTGGGTAAGCAGGGCCACCGCGTGGGACTCGAAAAGGATGCTGTCGCTCTTGTGCCGGTGCTCCAGTAGAACGCTGTGCGGCGAGGGGGCAATGGACTTCTCCAGCACACGGATCACCTTGGACATGGCCATCTTGCTGGAATCTCTCTGCCTTTTTCTGATTTTTTTAATTCCTGTGATCTAGTCCTTTGCTGTCTGCAATTCAAGTGATCTGGGGCGATTGCACAAAACTAAGACATCTGGGGGTGAAAAAGAACCATTTTAATTGTGGGTGTATTTCACATCCAAATGAAATTTTCAGTAGGCTTATCGGTTTTATAATGCTAATTTCAAGCTTATTTCATTATGGGTTGCTTAAATTGTTGATGGTATTTCCTGTATTTTTTATCTCAAAACATTTTTTATTTCTCTGAGTAAAAAAAATGTTTAATTTAAACCAACTTAAAATACAGTTTTATCATTAAATGTGAATAAGATGACTTGAAATACTTAAGTATTCTTTAACAGAACAGTTCTATACTCTTGAACATAAAATTTAAACAAAGTGAGGTAAATCGGAAAAGTTTAGCTAGCTCAGCAGACACTTTAAACTGAAATGGCACTATAATTTTGGTGGCCTGTTAAAAATCAATAGGCAACTCTTAAACATAAACAAACCGAAAAGCAAAGGAATTTTTCCAATATTTCCGCCTCCCACTCAAGTTCACGCACACACATGCAGGTTCACATGCACCGGCGACAGCTGTGCTCTCTCTCGCACTCTCCCACTCTCTGCGTGTGTGTGCGTGTGACTGATAAACACTTTCTGCGCATTGTATGGATTTTTCACATGCAATTCCCTGGGAATCGACTGTTTTTTCAGGCAGTCAACAATCGCACCGCCTTGCGAACACTAATTACAGGAATCACCGAAGTTCACAATGCCATTGGCAGCTTAAATTAGTTGTTTAAGGGTTTATTACCGTCGGATACCTTTGTTTGCGATTTTATTGCAAAATTCTCGAGAGCTTTGTCCAGTATGACTGTATTTTGGTTGCGGCGAAACGGCTGCATTCTTGCTCGCCTCGATAATTATCGATATATCGATTTAGATCAGGGCAATGAACTAAATATTTGAATTTTTAGTAAGTACTAAAAAAACAGAGTCAAATGTATTGACCAATTTATTTTAAAGATAACGCCAGACACTTGATGATAAAACGAGGCTAGTGGCACTTTATCAATGGCGTCCTTATAGCTGGGGAATCTAAATAATTTGCTGTCGTATCTTAATCGCTCAAGACTGCACACTTTTCTATTTAACAGATAAGAAAACGCTCACTTTTGGGAATAATATGATTCGGCCGCTGGGGTTACTCCGGCGCTCCCTTTCCAACTCATTGACAAAAAGTTCAACATAAAATATAAATGATTAATTCATATTGTTCATACAGTGTTGCGGTGTACCTAGATACTTTTACCTAGGTACGTTCCAAGGTAACAAAATGTGGTACATTAAACTTATCTAGGTTAACAAATATGTGTCTATCTTTTACATTACCTAGGTATTGATTTTAATATATGTTATACATTTTGAGTACGGCTTTGCCTACTAATTGTAAGTTCCATTTTTATTCTTAGTCAGATATAATTATCAGTGCTTGTAAAAATAGCATTATTTAACTGCAACTTTGAGAAAAGCTTACTTAAACCCAAATGATGTAATCTTCTTCTACCTCACCCAGAAACTGGGAAAATGGTGTACCTCTTAATTTACTTTTTTCGCAAATACCTTCCCCAACATTGAATATTTACACTTATGATATTATTGGTATACGAAAACATTATTAAATAACGAACATCAAACTCTAGTAAAAAAGTCCCAATGAATTTGTATATTTTCAAGCAACTTTGTTTCAAAGTTGAAATGTTCGCAAGCTTAGATTACAAGCATCTTTAACTTGAAAGATTTTCACGTAAGACAATGATATATAAAATAATCATATAAGTTGTCATATAAATAATGTTATTGTGTATTTTTGTGCACGTTCCTAACGTGACCATTATGCTCCTCTAAAGACGATTAGATATATAGCCCAATGAATATTCGTAATCACAACAAAGAAAAACTTATAATTGTAAATCACAGAGAATCGGGTGATTCATTCCATTCCGCCTTATCAGAACCCAGAGGCCAATAATAAACATGAGTTGCGTAGCATTCCATGCTCTGTGAGAGTGCAAGCAAACGCTATTAAGTTTGATGTGATGTTTATTCGGTAATTTAGGCTAAAGCTACGAATTTATTTCAAAAATACATTCTAAACATAGTTCGATTTAGCTTGGCAAACGAAGTAACAATTCTAGTCAAAGGGTTTTTGCAGAGCCCACATTTTATCTAATCGCTTAACTGAAAAACCAAGAGGATTGCCGTGCCTTGTTTATTGATAAAAATTGATTAAATTACATAATTCCCCGCCAAGATATGGCCGATTTTGGAATATTTAGCACGCCTCCCCCATGTACGTCATTCCAATTTAATTGCATTTCACCCATTTTAGGCTGGGCGGGTGTGCAAAAAAATATCAGCAGTCGTTTTATAGTGTGTGCCCACCAAATATATCTATCCTGGTTCATTAGAACCGCCTAATTGTTATTACTTAATGCGTAAGCTAAAGGCGTCGGCCTTGGTTTGTTCCGGACCTGCACCGGAGGGTCCAACTACATCCTCCTCTTTGCAGCTGATATGCCTTCACTCCTATCTGTAGTCGCAAAACTTGTAAATGTTTTTGTGTCGCCCTGTTGTCATGGCTTAAGTTCATTAAGATAAGCGGCTCTGTGGAAAGAAATCGAAAGAATTCTCCCCCAGAACAATCCCATTCGATCATGCGACTGGAAAGTTCTATATATACTGCCTCTATTGTATGTACTTTGTAATGATCGCCAGCCTGACCCATCACCTCCCACATAACTCAGACGCAAGGGAGCAAGATCATTCATAGAGAGCCGCATTAAAAGCGGACAGAAGTCGAGTCAAATGTGCGATGATAATTACGCTGAAAGTGAGTGTGGCGTTGGCGATGGCGTGACTAAGCCAAACGTTTCCCACCTTTTTGGTCAAAAGCCCAATGACTCAACTAACTGATAACCAGAACGATCTTGGAAAAGCGATACCAAAACAAACAAACATCAATCAGAACCTAATGGGTTTTCATACGCACGATCGTTTCGATTCGATTTATTCAATGGCATTCCCTTTCGGCGCTTATGTACAGAAGCTGGGGCAAACAAAAAAACACAAACAACTCAACTAAAAGTAATCATAAGTTTAGGCTTAACGGTAACAATATAACTAGGGTGCTTGGCCAAAATAAATAATTACAATTGAATAAAGCAACAACAGAAGCGGGGAGAATTAACGCAATCATAATGCTAACTAGGGCTTACGTCTGTACAGGCTGGCTACAAAATATGTACTTATTATATACACAGCATCATTAACCAGTTTCCACGAAGCCATCAAACTGCGCCCGGGTCGATCAGCTCGAACGCGTTCATCTACATCTCCGGCGAGCGATCCCAACGATGCGCTCGTCGTCTAATCAGTGTCTCTAAACTAATCTAGGTCCGTTTGCCGCCCTTCGCGTCCAGGAGGAGTGCGTGGATACCGCTCCGCATTCGCCTTTTTACAGCTTTAAGTCTAGACTTACGTAGTGACTAAGGTTCATCTAATAATACTACTACCAGACGCTGGACGCTAAACGCCGCCCGCCAGTCGCTTGCAGTCCGCTGAGTTGGTTGCTCACAAGTACAAAATAACAAACTTAACTAGTAGCTGCTACGACACCAGCAGTCGCTGCTTGGCGCCCGTGCAGATCAGCGTCTCCCCCGTTGATCCCCCGGAGGTTGCCACAGGCTCTAACGTGGGAGCGGGCTGGGGTGCCAGTGGGGCGTTGGCAGCGTCGGAGGTGGGGCTGTTCAGCTCGTAGGCCATGCCGCCCCAGTGAAGCTTGTAGGTGCGGGCGCGCCAGCGGATCGCCGGATCCCAGAGGGCGTGCAGGAACAGATAGGGTCCGGTCAGCTCCCGAAACAGCCAGCCGACGACGAATTCGAACTTGTGGAACGGCATCGAGCCGTGCTGGACGATCGAGAGCAGCAGCCAGTCGGACAGGAACCAACAGAGTACGTGCACAAGGTAGAACACTAGTGGATCCCAGCTGAACAGCACGGAGGCCGACCAGGCCGCTATGGCGCCCAGGATCATGCACTCGGATAGCGGTTCTAGCAGAATGGTGGTGGGCACCATGGCCACGCGCAGCTTGGCCCACCGGATGAGGCGCGCCTGGAAGCTGCCGATGTCGCAGAGGCCGCTGTTCTGCAGCGCCGGCTGGTTGGATATGCGCATCTTCCAGCCCAGCCTTGTCACACTGCGGGCGATAAAGAAGTCCTCGGCCAGGTAGCAGCCAAAGGCCCTCAGGCCGCCCAGCTGGTCGATAACAGCCTTTCGCAGCAGGCAGGACATGCCCGTGTGGCAGTTGATGCCCAGCACATCCGCCGAAAGGTAGATCCTGCTCTGTACCGTCCCAAAGAATACCTTCTCGAAGGTGGCTGCAAACCCATCCCGGTCGCTGGTGAAGGGCATCTGGTGGACCAACGCGTGCTTTTCGGACATGTTCTGCACCATGTCCAGCAGAGTGTCGTCCTTCATCTTGATACCGCTGTCCGAGATCATTACAAAGTCGTACTTGGCGGCCAGGTAGCCCGGATGGATGTTGTTGATCTTGGGATTTACGCCCACGTCGGAGCCACCGACAAAGAGGGTGGCGTCCACCAGCGGGTACTTGGCCAGCAGTCGCTCCACCAGCTGGATGGCCGGGTCCTCTTTGTCCTCGACGCAGAATAGCAGCTCGTACAGCGGGTAGTCCATGGTGAAGAAGGTCTCCAGGTTGTGCTGCAGGTTGGGATCGACGCCCATCAGGGGTTTGAGAATAGAGACACCTGGCAGGGGTTGGGCCTCCGTGGGCAGCTTGCAGGACTTCTTGTGCAGCTTGTAGCGGCCGTAGCAGATGGCTATCACGTGCACCATCCAGGTGCCCAGCCAGAAAGTCATGAAGAATGCCGCGAAGCCATAAAGCGGCAAAGGTAGGTGTGACATCTCTGGTCGTGTGTGCCTGTGGGACTGTGTGTGTGTGTGCGCGGGTGGTGCTCCTAAGGTCCGTATGTGCGTGTGTGATGGCTCCAATTCCGAATCCCCGTTCGTGTGCCTGTGTGAGTGTCGCTGGGTGGGTGGGCGCTGCTATTCTCGCTGCATTTGCTGTGGTCGCTTTGCGGTTTGGCTTGCCCGTTTGCCAATCAGATCAGATCGAACGGATCAATCAAGTCGCAGTCACTGGTCGGCGGTTCTTCGCGTTTTAAACATCTTGCAGACCTCGCGTCGCGTTCGTTGCCCAAATAAAACTGCAAGTAAAATAAAGATAGCCGAGCAGTGCTGTTGAGTTTCGATAGATCGATATAAACACAGTGTTGGCCAACGTTGCGACCAATATACGGAAGTGGAAGGAACACTACCGAGTCACGGTTCACATGTCAGCTGCTTATAAGAAAAAAAAATTACTGCTTACGATTTTAAATCTATATTGTTTAAATTTTTTTGGTTATTATTATTATTATTTAACTTATTTACCGAATCACCATATTTTCCATAATCGTATTTAGTTGAATTATTATTAATCTTCGGATTGCCGAAATGGGTTTCCTTTTTTGTGAAATATATTCACGATACCTTATTATTATCATAAATCTATAACTTTAATATCATTTTTTGACTAATGAGAATCAAATAAATTTACGCATGCAATCACGCATTAACATAACAATACGAACTCTAGAACAAAAAACGCGCATAAGCGCAGCGCGATACACGTTAGCCAACACTGCACAGATTGCTTTCTTTGAAATATCCGTCATAAAAGCCAGTAAATTACAGTAGAATGCAGGAGTAAACGCACAAGTCACAAAAAAGCAAAGCAATGGAATCCTTGTCGAAAGAACCCTCCTCCGAATCCGATCAGCCGGAGGATGACCATCCAGTCAAATCGGACTCGGAGCCCAACAAGATATCGCGAGCGCTGCGAACGGAGTTCGATGCCAAATACCAGATTGTAAACCTGCAGACGCCGCTGAATGCCTTCATGTCGGGTCACTACAAACAGAGCTTCGCGTTCTTCACCCTCAGGAGTCGTCTACCCGTCATCTTGACCAACGCAATAGACACCTTGACCCGGGACAAGAGCGAACTGGTCGCCCAATTCGGTAAGGTAATCCCTGCAAGAGTTTTGGTATGCATCAATTGCTAACTGAGTCTTTAGCCTCAAACGATTTCGCACAGGCTGCTCGCGAAGAGCTGAAAATCATCATTGGATTGATATCCCAACTGAAGTACGAGCTCCAGACAGACAAACCTTTCCACAACTTCACAGGGGAGGGTAAGTGCCAGGTTCTTTCAGTTCTTACTAGTTCTACATATATATTTACCTATTTCCATTAGAACCCGATAGAGAACTCTGGAACAACTTCATCAGTCACCTGCCCAATAACGAGCGCACCTTCTACCAGGCCAGCTCCCTACACGCCGAATGCTATCTGCACCGAAAACTCCACTCCTTTCTGGAGAACAGCATCTTCCTGAAGTCCTACGACTACTTTGCCAAAGTCAAGGAACTGGCGTTGACCGACAGCATGGAGGATGTGCTGGCCCTGACCAAGCACACTCGGCGATCAGAGAACAACCTGGAGGTTTTCAACGAACTGCTGAAGATTAACATGTGGAGCAACTGCAATGATGTGGCCAGCGAGGCGGTGATAGGCAAACAAACGAACCGCCAGGTGTTAGAGAATGTGTCGGCCACCGATGAGTATGTAATCGTCAACCAGGCAGCGGAGATCTGGAGGTGCTTGGACAATCAGAAGCGAAAGAAGCAGAAGCAGGTAGACTTTATACTGGACAATGCGGGCTATGAGCTATTTAGCGATTTCATCCTAGCGGAGTTTTTGATCGAGAAGGGACTGGCCACCAAGGTGCGCTTCCATGTGAAGGCCCATCCTTGGTTTGTCACCGATGTCACAGAGAGGGATTTCAAGTGGACACTAGAGTACTTGAGTCAGCATGCAGACTACATCATAAGCCTGATAGGAAAGAAGTTTCTTCAATTCATCGACGAGGGAAAGTTTGAGCTGGTACCAACCTCGCATTTCTGGACCTCGCCACATGCTTTTTACAGGTGCGAATCGCAGATTTCAATACCAAATTCAGAACTGAAGTATTTGTTTTTCTGGCTTACAGCATGACCCACACGGATCCAGATTTATATAAATCTCTACAGCAGTCTAAGCTTTTGGTTTTCAAAGGAGAGCTCAACTATCGCAAGCTTCTGCAGGACGTTTGTTGGGACAGCACCCAGGAAACGAGCACCTGTCTCCGGGGCTTCCTACCCAGCAATATTTGTGTATTGCGAAGGGTTAAAAGCGAGGTCATCTCCGGCCTGGCCGAAGGCGTTGGCCAAGCGCTGAGCAGAAAGGATCCCCACTGGATGGTATCGGGCAGCTACGGCGTCATTCAGTTTGTGGACGGAACGCGTGAATTTGGCTACTGACTTTGTAAAGCAGCATAAATTATCTGTGGTCAGAGAGCCTGAATCCGGATGATCTGATTTTGTAAAGGCTTGGCAGTTTAAATTATTGATAATAAATAGTCGTTACATATCTAGCAACCAAAGAGAGAAGATTTGAATACATAAAAACTGAAATATCTTTGTTACAAAAAGTTTATTCGAATTCTAAATTAAATAAATATTATAAATATGAATAAAAAAAACAAGGATTTAAAATTTGAATTATAATATTTTACTACCGTTTTCTTGGTCAAAAGAAACAAAATTTAAGCGAAGTATCGTCTGTAGAAGTATCGACTAATTCAGAATGCGGTATTTTGCATCGCACCCCAAAGTGGGCACACTAGGCGCTATATTATCAACTTTCCACAACAGTTCTATTCAGTAAAACTATTTGTCTGGAACCAAAACAGTTCTTTCGAGATGGCTGGAGATCCGGATTTTGACACAAAGAATGGAATTGTAGACGGGCCAACGCCGCCGCACTCCGAACTGGCGGCCCTATATAAGCAGTGAGTAGGGAGGGAGGTCGCTAAATATAGCGAATAGTGTAGATGTTGTCTATATGACTCGAGCACATGTAACCTATCTTGTCTCACACCAATGAACGGGTGAATTGGTTTATTATCATTTAAATTTAACTTATCACAGGAGCTTTGCCTACTACACGTTCCGTGTGCGCCTGCCCTCGACCTTGGCCACCATCGCGAATTCCCTGAATAAGGACAAGGACGGCCTACTGGCCACATATGGTGCAGTGAGTAGTGGGGTGCCCTCCATACCTTGACCTTGAATTAAAGCCTTGCATTTTCCACCCCAGGAAGCATTAGCCGATATTGAACAAACTACAAAGGATGTCAAACAGCTGCGGGAGGACATTCTTAACAATGGTTCTTTGTTGCCCTTTGAGGGGCAGGGTAAGTACTCTGTGGGTTTCAACTTTATAAATTTTAAAAATACATAAAACATTTTATAAGATGACAGTGATTTTTTGTATTATTCAAACTCCCAAACAAGTAAACCAATAGTCAGATTTTGATGACACATTTTTTATTCATTTATGTATTTTCGTCTCGTTTGAATTATCAGTTATCAGTTATCTTGAAAATTCCATAAAACATAATACAAAATGTCGCTGACTCCGGCTACAATAATCATCTCTTTAAATGAGTTTGCACGCGAGACATATGTAATATAGTATTATGAATTTATTATCGAAATGTATTAGCTAACAACACCTTTAAACAAACGAGAAAAGCTTTGCCAAGCCAAAGTTTATAATACTTTTCCAATTATATGTAAATTTTATTAGTAGCTCTCTTGTATTGAAAGGGGATTGATAGAGTCTTAATTATACTATTGTAAGAAGTCCTTTGGACATAAAAATCTGTAGAGTGGTAATTAATTCGTATCCGTTTCTTTTAGATCCCGACACTCAACTGTGGAACGCATTCCTGGAAAAACTGCCCAAGGAGAAAAGGACTTTCTTCTCCGCCTGCTGGCTCTACGCCGAATGCTACATGTACCGCAGAATCTCAGCCATTTTCCGGGCCACCCCCCACTTGTCCGCCCACGACTACTTTAGCCAACAAAAGCAGACAGCTGCCCAGCTAAGCGTGGACGCCATGCTGGCAGTGGCCAAGGCGACGCGGCAGAATGATCGGAACTCGGACACCTTCCGGCAGCTGATCAAACTGAATCTGTGGGGCAACCGCTGCGACCTGTCCATCACCTCCGGCAAGCAGGTGAAGCCCACTGGCAATGCCTTCGACCAGGTCACGGATTTGGAGGACAAGCTGCTAATCGACGGCACCGCGGATGTGTGGAAAGCCCTCGATGGAGCCTCTGGCGACGGCGTTGTGGAGATTATTTTTGACAACGCCGGCTATGAACTGTACACCGATCTGATCTTGGCTGAGTATATCATCGACAAGGGACTGGCGGCCAAGGTGCGCTTTAATCCCAAGGCCATTCCCTGGTTCATTTCGGACGTGATGGAGCACGACTATCACTGGACGCTGAAATTCCTGGCCGAGCATCCGGACCCGACGCTGAGTGAGTTGGGCAAGAAGTGGCAGCGCCTAACCACGGAGGGTAAGTTCGAGCTTTCACCGCTGGAACACTTCTGGACTAGTCCCTACGAGTTCTATCGCATGCCCGAGGTGAATCCGGAACTGTACAACCGCCTGAAGGCGGCGCAGCTGGTGATCTTCAAAGGTGACCTTAACTACCGCAAATTGTTAGGAGATTTCTCCTGGGACAGTACAGAGTCCTTCGAAACCTGCCTGAGGGGTAAGTGTTACATAAAAAATGTACATTATTAGAAGTATTCTTTTCATAACGTTTTCGGTGTGTTGCATCCGAATCGGTTCTGCACGTCAACGTTTTGAGTTGACGTGGACCTAAAAATGTTTCCGACTTTGAGGTCAACTTTTTCAAAACGCTGCTACTAAGTTTTGGTTTCTAGATTCGGAATTTTTACATCGTAATCTATAAAAAAGAATCCTTCCATTAATGAAAAAAAACAAATGTCATATTTGAATCCTTGTACAGGTTTTCGTCCCTCGAACCTTTGCACTCTGCGCACGGTTAAAGCGGATCTGATTTGCGGACTAGCCGATGGTGTGGCGGAGCAACTGTTTGCCAAGGACAAAGAGTGGATGCTGACCGGCGAATATGGCGTCATACAGTTTGCCAGCAAGTAAAACAAGAAATCAAACCAAGGACACGGAAATAGTTGAATTGTTATAGCCTAGCTTAATTGTTATAAAGTAGAGTGGGCTGATTCTAGAGGCGAAATGTAACTATAGACCGTTTTCTAGTAAAAACTGCTAGTTAAATTGTTTTAGCAAGTAAAATATTTGGTAAAACCCAAATTGTTGAAATTCAAAGTACCTTTTTCGTAGTTTGTAAAACTTGCGTTTTAAAACTAGTCAATTATTTGTATAGTACTCCGTTTAAAAAAAAAATGTTGTATAGGTTTATTTATTAAGAAATTTTAACTTATTTTGAAAGAATTATTGTAAATAAGAAAGGTTATTTACATCTTTAGAGCTTTTCGCCTCTAGCATTGGATCCATTCTCTATAAAGCCTTTTGCATTGTTATAAAAGCACACGTTCTCACATCTATGAACAACATCAGTTGCCCAGGGGCAACAAAAAATTAAAAACAAATCTCAATTTGGAATTGAAAATTTTCCTGGCAGAGGGTTACGAAATTCTCCGCTTTTAACCAAAATGCAGAGCGAGGCCAGCAGTCGCGGCGATCTAACGGACGTCTCCATTGCGGACAATGAGGACACCATTGAGCAGTTGAAGGAGTTGCGATTTAATGAGAAAAATTTGATCATATACTCCCCGCCAGGAACCAATGATGAGCTTTCCGCCAGATATCTGTACAGCTTCGCTTTTGCGACATTTAAGCGAAGATCGCCGGGTTTTATCCAGGATTTAGTAACTTGTCTGCGGATTAGGGAGCCAGAAATTATAAAGGAGTGCGGGGACTACGCCCACTTCGATTTAAAGCGCACCATCTGGAGCCTGGAGCTGCTACGCGAGGAGATGATCAACAACGAGGAGTTCCAGATATTCCGTGTCAAGGCCCCGGACACTGAAAGTTGGAATGCCTTTCTAATGGGTCTCACCGAGGACAGAAGACAATGGTTCTCGGCCGTTTGGATACACGCCGAGTGCTATATGTACCGCCGCATCTGGTCGATCTTTCAGCGGTCAGACACCCTCGCAAACTACGATTACTTTGGCGACCAAAAGATGTCGGCCACTAGGAACCTGACGCCCATGATGAGGGGCATCCTGGTGGCGACCAGAAAACTGATGCGCAGAAAGAATAACTTCCAGCATTTACTTAAACTATCTACCTGGGGCAATCGCTGTGACCTGTCCATCACAACTAAGGGTCCGGATGCCAACATTTTTCATCGCATTTCTGAGTACGATGCGGATCTGCTGGCCGATCAGTCGGCGAACATTTGGGAAGACCTCACTGAGGCCTGTGAACCAATCTACGTGGATATCGTGTGTGATAATGCGGGGTTCGAGCTATTCACAGATTTGCTGCTGGCTGAGTACATCATTGAATCGGGTTTGGCTCGACGGGTGCGGTTCCATGTGAAGGCCATTCCCTGGTTTATCTCGGATGTCACGCATCAAGACTTCAACTGGATGCTAAATTACTTCCGAAAGCATGAATTTAAAGAATTTAGGGCTTTTGGTAGGAGGATACACGGCTACATCCGGGACCGTTCGTTTATCCTGTGCGACAAGAGCTACTTCTGGACAAGTGGCTACGATTGCAGCCAGATGAAGCGGATGCAGCCTTGTCTGTATGTCTATATCAGTGAAGCAGCCCTGGTAATCTTTAAAGGCGACCTAAACTACCGAAAACTACTCGGCGACATTAACTACAACTCCACGGACAAGTTTTCCGATTGCCTGCGGGGCTTTCAGCCAACCAGTGTCTGTGCCCTGCGAGCCATCAAATCGGATATCTACTGTGGGCTGCCTGTTTGCACGGTTGAGTGGCTAACCGAGGACAATCCTGAATGGATGATCAGCGGCGAAAAGGCTGTAATTCAAGTGGCCATCAAGCACCGACTGTCAGGTGACATAATTGTTTGAATTACAAAATTTATCATTCGGTGTTTTTGGATATTGCAATTAACAGCACATATTTATATGTAGCTATTGTCGTTTTATTAATTTATCTCCTAAAGTTTAGGCGGTGTAAGTCGTTAAAATAAGTATTGCATTCCGTATTATAGACTACAACTAAGCATTATCAAGTAAGTATGAATGGTAGAAAAATATGTATGCTCTAAGGCCATATTTATAGCTATTTATATATTTATATGTATGTATGATCGCTGCGATGCTTCGAATTGTTCAAGTCTTATCAATTGCCGTTACAAGAAAATTAGGGCAAATATATATAAAAAAAAGCAATTTAAAATTTCATGCAATATCTCTAGTTTTCAGTTTTCAGATCATCTTGATACCAATCATCTTTATCCATGCGTTTTGTATTAATAATTAAATAAAATCCAGTAACTAAATGGATATTCTGCGTTCTATTTCATCTTTTTTTTTTTGGAGGGATTGCTGGCCGCTGGAACTCACAACACGCAGTTGGGATTGAGCTGCTGATATGGCGTCAGATCTTTGGTGATCGAGAAGAGCGCTCCATCGCGCACCATCTTGCACATGAGAGCGCCCAGGTTCTTCGCATCATCGATCCCGGAATGAGCCCTGCCCTCAAAGGCCAGCCCCACGTGCGACAGGGCATCGCTGAAGTTGCACGGGCGGTACTTGTACCACGACCGATAGATGGCCCGCACGTCGATCCACTGGTTGAAGTAGGCCGCTTTGCGCATTCGCTTGCGAGTGCACTCCTTCGCCAAGCAGATGCCAAAGTCCCAGTCTGTCCAGGTGACGAAGGCGCAGTTGCCCAGTATGTTCGATTTGCTCATCTTCGGCAAGGTGAGGTTGCGGGCGCGGAGCTCCTTGCGCAGCCACTCGTGGAACATCATCAGCGCCGTCTGCAGCGGCACTCCGCTGTCCACAGTCTTCTGCTGGATGCCCGTCAGCTCCGTACAGTAGCTACTCAAGCGTGGTGACTCGATGGGCAGTATATATTGGTGAAACTCCGCCTCGATCTTGCCCGTCTTCAGGTTGACCAGCACGGCTGGGAATTCTAGAAATTACATATGTATCATATTAGTATTACTTTGTAATATATTAAATAAAAAATTGTAATTTCTTACCAATTATCTCCGCTTCTCGCCACTGCGGTGGCGCCTGCTTTTCCCAGCAGGTGGCCTCAAAGTCCACGGAAATCACATATGTGTAGGGCTGCATGGCCAGTTGCTTGGACTTCCTCGACTTCTTACTTTTAAGGGCCACTGTGTTGGCTGCTGTGATCTCGTCTTCGTTGAGCGACTCCTCGGGATCGTTAGCTGGATCTGGGCGAGCTCCGTCCACGTATATAGTATCGATCAGGCCCAGTTGTCTGCGAAAATAAACAGCAAATGTAAAATATAAGCGTTGATCCGCAGGATAAGCTCTTATATATATTTTTTTATAGATTTTGGTTGGGAATTTTGTAGAAAATAGGTATGTTATTTTCAGAGCTTTCCTCCAGCTGACCTGAGTATACGAACAAATCGGATTGAAGTGTACTACAGCTACTACTGTCTAGGAAATAGTTTTGAAAACAAAAAAACGAGAAGATCCTAACCTTCTCCCTGATAATTTGACTGCTCCTATTGCTGTTTGCCGTAGCATACAATCATGGGTTTGTTGTGCCACAAAAGGCCGTTGGTTTCGCCGAGGGCTTGGGCTATAATCTCCGGCTCGTTGGGTTTGAGAAAGGTGACAAAAGCCTGCCCCTTCATGCGACCCTGCTGCATCACTTTGATTTCCAAATTTTCGGTGGCAGTGTACTTGGCATAGAGTTCTCTCAGCTGCTGTTCATCCACGCTCTTTTCCAGGTTCTTAATGTACAGCTTGTTGCTGGGTTGCCCCGTTTTGTAGTTCTTATAGACAGGCAGAGCCTGGAGCTCGGCAATGGACAGACGCCCTTCTGGCTTCGAGATAGACGGCTTAAGGTTTTCTGGCAGTTTGAGTTCGATTTTGGGAGCACTAAAAGTGGGTATTTGCGTTTCTCGTCTGGGATTAGAGTGACTGGCTTGATGGACAGCCTGCTGTAGCATTTGACGGGTTCTCTTTAAGATCTTGGCCTGGACTTTTTCGCTTGAAGGTGGCAGCAATCGCTGCCTTTTGGCCCTCTTTTGGTCCTCATCCTCGCTCTCCAGTTCACTTTCCGATTCACTGGGTAAGACCTCCGTCTGGGTGCTCACATTTTGCTGATAGTTTTGGACCATCAGGCCACTGGAACGCTTCTCGAAAGGTGGCTCCAGATTCATGCGGTTCATCAGGTGCAGCACTTGGGTATAGAAGCGCGTGTTTGTCTGCAGACTCTGACCGATCCTGGCTAGGATTTCCCCGTTGATGGGTGGATAGCTATAGCTGAGATATGGCAGCGGCGGCTGTGTGAAGTCGCACTGATAATTGCAGGCATATAGCCTTCGAACGTACTTGTCGATTTCCGGATCCGGATCCTGTTTCCGGACATTGTTTCCCGCTGCCCTTGTCTGTGTGGATTTGCTGGCGCTGGTGGCTCCCATATTGGCACGTGGTCCGAAGGCGCTGATGCACAGCGGTTTGTCCAGCATTTCGCTTAGTCCATGCAGCTGTTCCAAGGCTTTTCCCGCCTCCTGCGAATCTGCGTACTCCAGGAGCGCCCTTTTCCGCCCGTAAGAGTTCAATGTCCGCGGCATGATCAGCTTGCACTCCTGGATCAGCTGCCCCAGTTCCTCCAGGGTGCAGGGCATCCGTTTTAGGAGCAGTTTGCAGCTGGGCTCGCTCATTTTCACCGGTTTTTTTTAGCAAGTCTCGAGAGTGCCGCATGCAAAATTCACAAAAAACATGGTCGTGTTGCCACCCTGTCGCAACTTGGTTTAGCAGCGGGACTGCGTTTTACAACACTGGATTTTGGCGGGATATTTAAAAAACCACAGATGTTGCGAAAGCCGGTTGTTTGGTCGATAAAATCGAGTTGCATAAAGCAAGTGCCGTCGACTCTTACTTTCACTAATTGCACCGGTTATCTCACAATCAGATAGCTGTGCATCTATTTTGGTTGGCTGACGAAAATCAAAAGAAAAACCATTCGTCAGTCAAAATTTCTCTGCAGAAAAAATAAAAAAATATGTGCCCAAATTATATCGAATTTTTGATTTATCAAATTCAAAATCATTTGAAATTAATTTTTTTTTGTAGGTTTACTATTTTAAACATTTTAAAACTTAAGACATTAATTTCAACCGAATTGTTGGAATTGTTGGTTGGAAATAAATTCTAAGTCTTTTATAAAATTTGTTTCAAAAAGAAATTTCAGCTAAATCAGAAATTGTTCTTAAACAATTTTAAAATACAATCAGTTGAGTTTAAGTTATTTAAAAGTTTTAAACATTATAATTTAATAAATACATTTATTTCTTAAACATACAGAACCCGTATTAAAGCATAGTTATACTTTTCGATGAAAAAATGTGAGCTAATGCTATAAGTTTTTAAATCTTTTTAATTTAAAAAATATCTTAAATAGGAGGAGAATTTTTCCCTTCTGAAAACTATGTTTTGATGATTTCTACATTGAGTAATGGGTGAAAAAACCAATAGAAATAAAAGGAAGAACAAAGTACTCTCTTTTACTTGACAAAAAATTGGGCAAAGAAAGTTGGAGCTTAAGAAGTTCAACTGTGAATAAAAAATGATATCAGTTTGCAATGAGGACTAAGTAGTCAACGACAAATGAACGAATCGCGTGCCATTGCTGGATAATCATGGGACCACTGTACTATACATTTAAATGCATTAAGCCCCCGTTGGGGTTTCTTGTTGGATTAGATCATTGTTGTGGAAGTACTCTCAATTCGATTAGGGTAATTTTCTATTTTCCAAATGCATTGCAGCCTCCGGAGTCAATGGACTTTTGGCGCACGCTCCGGGCATTTAATCAAATTGAATTACATATGAAAAATGCCTGACATGATCTGCTTTTTGATATATGGCACACACAAAGTGGTTATAAAAAGATCAGCACACACTCGTGCACAGCAGATTGCATAAAATTTGCAATGATTAAATGGACAACAACAAGAAAGGGGGGCGAAATGCAGGCAGGCCCAGTCGCACTTTCGATTTTCACTGGCTTTTTGGACGGTGAAAGGTGGACGGGGGCGGTGGTGGACCATATGCGGAAGTCCACTTTTGCACAAACAATACGAAATTGGATGAATGAACTCTGTGTCTCTGGCAGGCAGCCTGCACGAAAAAAAAGGAAAACCACTTTAAAATTCACTTTTACTTGCGCCAATTGAAACGAGTCCGCGCTGTCGGCTTTGCATTCTAAGTGACTTTAATGGGTTAAGCTATATTTAGAAAATTGCAACAAATTTCCAAGTAGGCGGAGTGCCAGTGGAGCACAGCAATTTGCACGCGGAAAAGAGGTTAACTAAGGGAAGGATCAATTGAAAATAGAATAGAATAAATAAATAATTTAGTATTTACCCGTCATGTATAAAAATAGATTTCAAGCTCTGGTAATTTTCGAGGTGGCTAAAATGTTAAATATTTTTTTGTAATAATTATTTTATTATTATATAATAATAATATCATAATTATTTATTATTTTTTAAAAATTATTTGTAATAATGATGAAAACTAAGTAAAAAAAAAAGGTTTTGTTATAGAAGAAATTAAAATATAACCAATGTGTGACATCGAGTTTAATCAATAACGTTAAATAATTATTTAAAATTAAAAAAAAAATACAGATTTTAATTAATTTAGAATGTATTATTTAATAAGTATTTGTAATAAGTTTCCTTCCAATTTGTTGATTTGCTTAAAAGTTAATTTGCAATATATCACAGTTTATAGTTAAGCTCTCTAAATATTTAAGTACATCATTAAAGGTTTTCACCTAAATGAAAACAATAAATTTTCACACTGACTGAATGACTCAGTTAAAAGAATCCTGAGTCCGCAACAGGTTTCCCAATTGGTCACAACCTGGTGAGCACACCAAGTGATGACAAGCCCCCTTTTACACATTCTA